TATTCAAATTAAATCTTTAATATACGTAAATTCTCAAATTTTTCGACAAAACTGAGAAAAAAATGAGAGATCTGATCGATTTTCACAATTGTTTAGCCCAATTAAATCTATTTTCCTTCTCCAATTAAATCTATTTTCTATTTGAAATCCTAAAAAGAACTTCTTTTAAAAGTTCAAAATAATATTAGCACTAGTTATTCGGTTTTTTAATTGACTAAACTTTTTCAGATCAATCCAAATCTCTAATCTTTGCACCTGCTTTTTGGAGAAAGAGAAGAAATTTTTTTTTGAGCTCTTGAAAGAGTTACGAAGAATTTTGAATGTTATTTTTCAACAAAAACTCTTTAATTTCCATATTATTTGATAGTAAAAGGCTATTGAAAATGTTTTAGAAACTAGGTATTTAATTTTTCCACTAAAATAAGATTGGATCTCTTTTCCTTTTCCTCAAGAATTCCCTTGAGCACAATTTTTTACCTAACCACTCTAGAAGATAACAACAAGAATTGTAGTAGAATAGACTCTTTTTAAAAAAAACTCTTTTTATAGTATGAATATATTTTATTCTAAATAAAGAAACTTGTTATACAATTTTTGTTAATAAATCTGCTTTATTTGAGCGATTCGTTCCTAGGTATAAACGGATGTGGACTAGAATTTGGGTTAAGTTAAAGAGAGTGGATTCCTTTTGATATCCCGCCATCTCTAACAGCTTTTGATATCCCGCCATCTCTAACACCCCAACAACCCAACTCAACTCCTCCAACGTATTAAAGGGGAGTCCCTGTGAAATGACCAACTGAAAAGCTCGGAGCTGACAATCCCTACATGTACATTAAGCCGTCGAACGACTTGTACTGCAGTTGCATAGACCCGGAAGATATGTATCTTTATTTACAGTAGTATAATAAGACGAATAGATTACAAATAAGTGTAAGGGGAAGGGGGGATTCCTAATGAGAGTCTCATTTGTCCTCCTAGGCACATGGGAGGACACATTTGCATAAGAATAGACAAATCATTCAATAATAACAATAGTAACTAAAATATCAGTTTGGCTCGGAGATGACAGAGCCGTTCGCTTGAAGTAAACGAACCGATAATGAACGCTTAACGCCAAGCTGAGGAAATGAGTTCATTTCTAATCAAAAACCAACTAAAAAAACAATTTTTTACAAGTTCAACTGTTTCTTTTTTTCTTTTTTCAAATTCCAAGTGACTTTTAATAAAGCTGAATAGGAAAAGGTTTAAGCAAAACTGGGTTAAATTCTTTAGAAATCTCCTTGAAGAGGTTGGGTGCAAGATTAGCTTAAAATTATATTTTTATAAATGAAATTTGTTAAAAATTTGTTGTTTATGTAATTTAGTAGTTTTCTATGTTTTTTGTTATCTTTTTCTTCAATTTCTATCGAATTTTTTAGTAAATCTGAAGAATGGTGAGTTAAAGTCGAAAAGAAACACGGAGAGGAGAAACAATGCCGCTGAAAGCGCCGAATATTCGTGTCGAGAAATTTCGATTCTATCCGACAAAAGAAAAAGCAGCAAAGAAAAGTATTGTAATTTAAAGTAATTTAAATACCGTATTTCTTCGAATAGAAGACCGGATAAAGAGTATGATCGCGTACTCCTGCGTAGCAGCCCTTTTTAAAATTTCTTTTCTGCATAAAAGCTTTCAATGAAGTGCTATAGGGCTGGAAAATGACTCAAAAATACCACATGAGCTAACAGATTTTTTGAGCCATTTTCCAGCTCTATAGCACTTGATTGAAAGCTTTTATGCAGAAAAGAAATTTTAAAAAGGGCTGCTACGCAGGAGTACGCGATGATACTCTTTATCCGGTCTTCTATTCGAAGAAATACGGTATTGTAATTTAAAGATAAGATTTCATTTAAAAGATTTAATAATCTAGATTTTATAAAAATCTAAAAATCTTTCAGCTTCTATCGTTAGGAAAGGTTTGAAACACTTTCTAAATGTTTAAATCCTTTGTTCGACTTCTTTCAAATATACTTTGTGATGAGAATTTGTAAACGCACGCTTTCTGATTCACTGAAATCTTGTTTCTACAAGAGAAATGCAAATTTCTGTGCTCCAGAAAGCTTGTGTTTACACAGAGTTCATCAAGAGCACAAAGTTTATTAAGAGACAAGTCTCCCTTTGTTAAAATGAAATGAGAAAATTGGGTTTTGATCAAATTTTGAGATATTCTACCGTAAATACAGTAATAGTACCCCACCGCCCTCGTACAGTCACGTAGTTTCACGTCGCAAAAGTTTTTTAGTATTTCATTTTTTTCAAAGCACCCGTACTTTCAAAAAATACGTCTTTGGTATCAAAAAATAGCCCTGAATTTCAGCTATTTTTTGATACCTAAGCGCGCATTGTAGCATAAATCAGTGTCGAGAAAAACGCGTCCAAAGCTAGACTACGCAACACTCTGCACCGTCATTATGGGGGTGGGGTACTATTACAGTATTTACGGTATTTGCAAAATTCAAAGCTAAACCAACTTTTTTCTCATTTTTTTTATAGAAAACTTTACCTCTATAGATGAAACATTTAACCAATTCACCTCAGTAGTTAACTTAGTAGAGTAGTAGAGTAGATTCTGCAAAGAGTTGACAATTTTCTTCAAGTGGAGACAATTTGAAAAGTTTTCAGTCTTCAGTACTTTGTTGGAGATTTTTTCATATGCTCAAAATTACAAAATCCTTTTCAAATCATTTTTTCCCCCATAATACCCTCTTTGTTTCGGGAAATTTCTGCAAAAAAAAAGCTCTAATTATTCATTTTTTTGACTACGACAAAACGACAAAACACCAAGGAAACTAATTGACGGAAGAGAAATTGCTGGGATTTTAAAAGCAATATCTAGGGTTTAAGACTTTAAATCTAGTGCTAGTAGAATGTAAAGTAGATCGAAATGGTGAAATAAAAGCTTTGCAGAGTTGTTCCAAAACTATTGGCCATAAAAGGTCAGAAAGAGACCGACTTTTGGTCTAGCTTCGTTTACAAAAGTGATCACAGCCAGATCAAGATCACAGCCAGATCAAGATCACAGCCAGATCAAGATCACAGCCAGATCAAGATCACAGCCAGATCAAGATCACAGCCAGATCAAGATCACAGCCAGATCAAGATCACAGCCAGATCTGCTGCTTTGGAACACAGCCAGATCTGCTGCTTTGGATCACAGCCAGATCTGCTGCTTTGGATCACAGCCAGATCTGCTGCTTTGGATCACAGCCAGATCTGCTGCTTTGGATCACAGCCAAATGAAGATCACAGCCAGATCTGCCGCTTTGGATCACAGCCAGATCTGTTGCTTTGGATCACAGCCAGATCTGCTGCTTTGGATCACAGCCAGATCTGCTGCTTTGGATCACAGCCAAATGAAGATCACAGCCAGAGCTGCTGCTTTGATTGTATCTCATCGTCTGCCCTAATCCTAGTATCCAAATCAAGATTTTGACCTTATCTGAATCAGTTGAAACCAGGCTTACAGGCGGAAAAAAACGGAAAATAATATAAAAAAGTATCTACTGGTTTATTCAACCAATTCAAGCACTCAACCACAATAAAGAAACAAATCCTATTGAAACCCTAATCTAAACTACTTAATGTCACAACAGAACTTCAAATTTTTAACTTAAGGAAAATAGAAGAATCCCATTTGTTGGGTTTTGCTTTGAAAATCAGAAGCTATTAAATTTTTTGCTTTTTTTAGCAAACAGGAACATCTAGAGAACATCTAGAACATCCTTTTTTTAAAAGTACAAGCCTAGGAAAATCTAGAGAACATCTAGTTAAAAGTCCTGTCACTTTTCTAAAATTCGCTAAGTTTTAAAAACTAAATTTTCTTTCAGCTCAATGAAGAATATAGAAAATAATCAAACTTTTAAACAATCTAGTAGCTAGATTCAATAGTCTAAATTGCTTCTGCAAAAAAAAAAACATTTGAATTAGAAAATTTAGTATTCTATTTGTATTCTAAATTTTCTAAACTTTACATTACCAAAAATGGATCTTAAAATAATATTTTTTTGATGCTATCTTTCTAGAAAACGTATAATATATAGAAATTTATTTGCTATCCAAAAATGAAGACAATAAATAGTCTCAAAAAATTTTTACAATTCAAAAAATTTCAGCAAATCGTTCGCAATCACTTTATTTCTAAATTTATTACGAATAAAAGATCGAATTCTTCTAGAAAAATTTGATTTAACGTTTTTTATACGTTTTTAATTAATCTTCATTACAAAAAAGCTTAATCTAAAGTTGATTTCCCTTAAAATCTCTAAACCTAGATGGCAAAACTTTTGGCGCATTCTGTATAAACAGTTGTAGAAAAGATTTCAACGGATTTATTCTCATTTTCTTGATCTCTTAGTTCTTCTCATTTCTCCTTTTCATCTAGCAAATTACCAGCAAAATGAACGGCAGCCATCTCAATTTTTTATGACCCAAAAACACTTTTTTGCAGCGCCGATTTTCTTTTAGCCTCAATCAAAACGGTTTAAAGGGTTTTAGCAAAAAGAAAAAGAAGTGACGGATCAAAGTGTGATGGGAAAAAGGCTTTTTTTTTGAGTTTTAGATCCCAGAGTCCTTTAGGTGAACCCTCATTGGGGCGGGGCTTCTCTCACTCCCAACTATAGGCTAATTGGAGAGAGAAGGACTCCCCAAGGACCTCTAAAACACCTTTGCATTTTCTGGGAAATTCACTGGAAAATCTTGAGAGATAATATTCATTTTTGAGCTAAATCTATAAGCATTCAAGTCTTTTAACCGATTTACTCTCAACTATTTATTGAATGATTTTTTGAGAGGCACTGGATCGAGGACTAAACCTAGAATTGTCTCGACATCAAGATTTTTGAGCTACTTGTCCCTGAAAAGTGGCTGTAGAGTGAGCTGAACTGAACTAAACTTTCTATATTGAATTGTTACTCATGAACAAAGCTTTCTGGTTTATCTAAATAATTCTATAAACCGAAAAATGTCGAAGAGTCCTCCACCGGGTCCTGCTCGACCCGGTGGCTCCTCAATGTCAGTCCTTTCCCCAATCGGTGGCTTCTCCACCGCTTCCACTCACGAACTTTCCCCTGTTGATCCACAAAGTAGAAAATTGTCGACTCTTTCCGTTTCATCTGATCATCTTGCATCAATGTCAAGAAAAAGATCAATGAGACAAATTCTCGCAGAAGTCGAGAAAAAAGTGGAAAAGAAAAAGACAACGACTATAGAGTCAAAACAAGCACCAGCACCATCAATATTTGAAGCGGCAGCGTTGATCAAAAATATTCATCCACAAAGGATCGATTTATTATCAGGTTAGTGCTAAAAGTTGTGACAAATTCAGTTGTTATTTGAGCTTTATTTGATTAGAATCTTGGTTAAAAATTGGATGAAAATGCTGCATGATGTTTTGAGTAGTTGTCGGTGGTGGAGCTGAAAAGCTGACTATTACAGGAGCTGACTTGATGATTGTTTAAGCAAAGCCAGGGCCAGGCCAAAAGCCAGGGCCAAGCTAAAAGCCAGGGCCAAGTTGTGACAAATTCAGTTGTTATTTGAGCTTTATTCTATTAGAATTTGGTTAAAAATTGGATGAAAATGCTGCATGATGTTGTGAGTATTGTTTGTGATCGTTTTGTGCTTGTTTTCGACTCAAATTTTTCACATTTTTAAATTATGAACAGTTTTAATGACATTTTTCTTTATCTGCAATCTTTCAAGAATCATTTTGTTCTTAAAAACATTTGCTTCATTTCCCTCATCACTTTTAACTCGATTACTTATTCAAATCTTCCTTTTTTTTCCCCATTTCCATCTATTTTTCGTCTTTTCGCCGAAAAAATTCCGAAATTTCCCGTTTCATTTACTCAATTGGGCTGCTTTTAAGCTAATTGTTTCGTCATGGAGTTCAAAAGGGAAAACTATTGAAGGAGATTGGAGAAAATTTAGATAAAAGTGTCTCAAAGTCTAGATAACTTTCATTTTCAACTACTGTAGTTAAATTATTGGTAAAAATTTGAATAAAAGTATCGCAAAGTATAGATAACTTTCATTTTCAACTATTTTAGTTAAATACAGTAGTTAAGTTAAGTTAAATTATTGATAAAATTTGAATAAAAGTATCGCAAAGTACAGAAAACTTTCTTTTTCAACTACTGTAGTTCAATACAGTAGTTTAGTTAAGTTAAATTATTGGGGAAGATTAGGTAAAGTATCCCAAAGTACAGATAACTTTCATTTTCAACTACTGTAGTTAAGTTGAGTTAAATTATTGATAAAAACTGAATAAAAGTATCCCAAAGTCTAGATGACTTTCATTTTCAACTATTGTAGTTAAATTTTTGAAGTACAAAGATTAGATTAAGATTAAATAAAGTTCTGCTTTGATTAATTCTCAAAAATTCTCAAAGTTTTTCCGAAAACTCTCCTCTAATTACCTCCCAAGAGACTTAAAAGAAGACAAGATTATTTTAAATCCAAATTTTGTCTCACACAATCTTTGAGATCTTTCGTCAGAAATGAATTCCTAAAACTTGTTGTAATCTTTAGACATCTGGCGCATTGGGAAAAAGAAAAAGGGGAAGAAAAAGGATATAAACTATGCACATTCCATTGGCTTTTTCTTTCTTTGGTTCACTTACCCAACTTGCCTAAAAGAAATTACTCATTTATCCAATTTAAGCAAATTTCAATAGCAGCAAGTTCTAAATTTGAAAAATTGAATTGAAAAAAGCTAGTAAGGGAGAGATTTCGATAGATTTCGTTTAATTACCCAATTCCTATAACAGTTTAATTGATAATCGATTCAACATTGATTCAATTACCCGTTTCGCCGAATTATTCTCTCAAGAAAAACTAGACCAGTAAAAAAAATCAGCGCAACGCTTGAACTTTAGCTAAACTTCAGCTAAACTTCAGCTAAACCTCAGCTAAACTAACGCAAAAATTCTCTAGATCCGTTCCTTTCCATTCCACTTTGTTTCCCAAAAAAAAACCAAAACAAAACTCGATAGCTCTTTCTTAAAAAAAACTCTCATTTTCCCCTTCTTCAGTCATTATCAAAAACAAATAGAAGCAAAAAGTTGGGGGAAACTTTTGAGGCCAATTTTCCGATCGTTTTCTCTTTTTCTTTCTTTTTAAAGTCTTTTCCAATGATTCCCACGTCGCACGTTAATAATTGACCCAGTAAGACAAAGAATTTTCCTCTTTTTGAAAAAGAAAGAGAACAGATGAAAGAGGAAGAAGTTTTCTCTTAGTAAAATGGAGAAATCGAAGGAGAACTCGGGAAAGATTTCATTAAACATTAAACATAAAAAAATTAGCATAAATTTCAGGATATTCGATTGAAGTATCAGATTAAGGAAGACATTTTTAAGAGGCCAAAAGAAAGGCGTCACTTTCGTCGACCATTTCGTCTAAAAGCTCAACAATTCATGAGATCTTTTCATTCAAAAGCCAAATGATTTTGGTTTTGTTTGAAATTTGAAATCAAAGCACTCATAAGTTCAGTAATTTGCCTAAATAAAATCTAGGTTTTAGTCAATTTACTTCAAAAAAAAATCCCTCCGACAACTAAATATTCAAAAATTAATTGAAAAATAAACTTTTTAAACCCCTTAAAACTTAGCGAAAGCTTACAAATCTCTAGTTTCACTGAACCTCAAAAGTTTCAAGTTTTTCAAGCTCGATCTACAAGTACACTTTTTAATTGATTGCCCAGTTTGCTTATTTTCTAGTGATCCTATTTAGTTTTTTTTTCGGGTGACACCTCGTCTTCACCAAAAAAAACTTTTCAGAAGGTGTCGAGCAATTTTACCCCCGTGAGAGAAAAGGAAAAGACTAGGAAAAGTTAGGGAAAAAGTTTGGAGAACAAATTTGGAAAGAAATACTCAATGAATGGAAATTTCTTCTTTACTGAGAAGGAAATTGGGGATTGGAGAAGGGTTTTTGGGTGTTAGACGAGAACGATTTGTGCTTAAATAATTGATTCTTTTAGTCAGATAGAGAAAGAGATAAAGAAAACATTACAGTTGATAGTTGGAACTTAAAAAGTTTTGCCATGTTAAAAAATAAATTTCGAAAGATCAGGGGTAGGCTAGTTTCCGCAACTTTTTTTGCGCAACTGGTCATTTGCGCAACTCGCCATAGCTTTCTTCTGAGTCGGCCAATCTTTATGATTTTATTTTAATTTTGTTGCACTTATTGAGATCTACAAAATTTAAATCAACCAATACACTAATTGAACTACGCTTTGTTTCATTAGAAAGGTCGGCGTAGGCTAATTTCCGCAATTTTTTTTGCGCAACTGGGTCGTTTGCGCAACTCGCCATAGCTTTCTTCTAAGTGAACCAATCTTTATGATTTTGGTTTCATTTTGTAGATCTCAATAATGCGATAAAAAGCAACCTTTCGACCTTTCGGGGGTGGCTACTTTGCGGCAAATTCTTTGCGCAACTCGCCATAACTTTGTTCTAAATAGATCAATCTTTATGATTTTGGATTCATTTTGTAGATCTCAATAATTGTAACAGAATGACACCAAAATCATAAAGATTGGCCGACTTGGAAGAAAGTTATGGCGAGTTGCGAAAAAAAAGGCGGAAACTAGCCTACCCCAAAGATCAGTAAAACCTTGTAGCTTAGAGATGTATAAAAAAGCAGTTTTTATAAAATAAAATTCTAGTTTAATGTTTTTTTTGTATTGTTTGTTTAAAAAATAGTTCTTTGCAGAAATTTGAGTATTTTATTAATGATGAATAATCCTTTTGAAAGAATTTCAATCATTCCGTTCAATTAAAAAATTTTTGAATTTCATTTAGAGATAGTTTGATTATGTTTTTTATAATTTCACCGATTTTCTAATCGTTTAAAACTAAATTAAGCTATTTTTCTATAGTTTTGTAGATGCTTTAAGGCTAAAACTAAAGCTTCTATGAAAAACAATCAAAATCTGATTAAACAAAATCGATTCAACTCAAAAAAATCAACCAAAACCTGACCAAAAAAGATCAATCCAAGTTCTTTAAAAGTTTAGCTTAAAATAAAAACAAACCAACTTGTAGAAATGAAAATAATATGCTATTTAAGGAGTTAAACATAGTCTTTATTCTTTATAACCCTAACTTATTTAGAAAAGAGTTTTGTTTTTGGTAAAGCATGAAGAATGAAAAAGAGAAAAAGCTGACAGCTGTCCATCTCTTTTCCCTTCTTTTCTCTTTTCACTTAAATCCCTTGTCTATTCTAGTCTTTTCACTTGTTATTGAATGAATGACTGACTGTCAAATAGCTCGCATTTCAAACAGTGAATTCACCTGGAAGGTGAAAAATTGATTGTTGTTGGGCATAGAGTTGGAAAGGGAGACTGAATGCAATTCGATGAGATCTCTAAATCTAGCAAGAACAAGAACAAGAATAAGAATAAGAATAAGAATAAGAATAAGAATAAGAATAAGAATAAGAATAAGAATAAGAATAAGAGCAAGAACAAGAATAAGAATAAGAACAAGGACAAGAACAAGAACAAGAACAAGAACAAGAACAAGAACACGAACAAGAACAAGAAAGTCAGTTTATTTACCCAGTTTTGTTGACGTTAATATATTTATAATCTTCTCTTCCATCAATGGATAAAAACCTCCCTAGAGAGACAATTAGCCAAATCGGCAAACCGATAAAAAGTTAGGAAATGTGAAAAGATTCTAAAGTGCTCGAAAGAATATATCGATAAATGGGGAAGATAAAGTAAAGTATTGGAAATTTATTCACAGAAAACATTTGTTGAAGACTTTCCCTTGATACAAGCATTGATTGAATATTGGAAAGCTAGTAAAAGCTCGGAAATTGAAGAGTGAATCAAGTCAGAATACCAGATGCGATTTGCTTTATCAAAGATCTTAATTATTCTACTTGAAATCCATTATAATCTATGCCAGATTTACCTATCAATTAGCAAATCTTTAGCATCTTGTATTCTTACTTGATTCACTTCTTGATTCACTCATTTCCGAGCTTTTACTAGCTTTCCAATATTCAATCAATGCTTGTAACAAGTGAAAGCCTTCAACAAATGTTTTTCTGTGAAATTCTGTCAAAAAAAGATCTTTTTCCTTGATTAATGTCAAATTCATACCAATCTACAGATTTATTCAACGAAAACTCATCATTAAATGACGATACTTCAGAAGTTGACTCATTTTCAGAACCCTTGAACACACAGCTCAGTCAATGAACACTTTGATTTGCCATCGATCAACTTTTAACGCCAAGAACAATCTTCTACACTTTTTCATCTGAACAATTCAATGTTCCTTTCTCTTTTCTCCATGATTAGACACTTCTAGCAACTATATAGTTCAAACTATCCTTTAAAAGAAGACATCTCGAAACCCCGTTGTTGCCAAAAAGCGATTCACTTTATCTCTCAATGCATACTCTATTAGAAAAGAAGAAGGATCTATGAATGCCAAATGGATTCTTGGGATATGTCTTCATTCATCTTCATCGTCTTCTTTCTTTTCAACCTATTCTCAATGACAGCACATCCTCGACATCATTCCATTGTCACCCTAACAAACCCATCCACTTATTCGCATTTCGAGACGAAACTGGCGCTAAAATCGCAAGAAGGGGCCATGTTGGCCTCATCATCGAGTAAAGATGATGATGATTTGTTGTCAACAAGTTCGGATGAGATTGAACAAGTTGCAAGAGAGACTTTGAAACATTTGGATGAGGTTTGGAAGATTTTGCACTGGAATTGCCTAATTAATCTGTTATGGCATACTGTTATGACCAATTCTAGCCACAATTAGAATTCTTTGGTTGATTATCTTAGCATTGAGCTAGTAAATTTGATTCTCTATGACTGTAATCCAGGCTTTAGTATGTAGATTTCCCCTTTTGCATACTTTTGTGAAACTTTCTAGATCTTTGAGCATTATAGAACGAAAAATCGATAGCTTCTGTCAAATCGAATGGAACAATCGATACAATTGATAGAGAAAAGCAAGCAGCAAAAGAAGCCGATCTAGAGAAAGAAGCCGATAAGAAAGGAGATCGAGATCAAGGTTTGAATAGAATAGCTTCAGATCTTGCTTTGACTTGGATTTTTTTTAATTCAATGGACTATTATTCCATTTGTATCATTCTCTTTATTATCTTGTCGGAATTTCAATGCCTTCTCGTTCTTTTGGTGATTGTACTTTTCTTCCTTTCTTCTCCCTTGTTTTTCCCTTTTTCTCTTGGCAAGTTAAGGTACCGGACTGCTCAGTGTTTAGAGCAATTGGTAGGAAAAGATCAAGAGTCGAAGATCGGAAAGCAAAAGGTCTAGGGTTCAATTCCCTCTCCGGAAATCTACTTTCTCTTGCCAATTCCTTCACTTTATTACAACAAAAAAGACTATCCTAAATATTTAAAAGTTCTAAAAGACTATTCTAGACATTCAAAAGTTTTAAAAGACTATCCTAAACATTCAAAAGTTGTACGAGAAGAGATCTAAGCATTATGATAGTAAACTGAATCATTGATCCTCTAAAAGTACGATTTCGTAATGAAATTCCCTAGCTGACCCATCCCTTATGCCAATAATTCGTTCACAAATCCCATTCTCGTAATCCCAATCGTAGAAAGCTAAAGTCGTATTGGGAGTAAAATGGGATAGCTGATCATTAGGGTGAATTGAATATCTCTTTACTCTTTTCTACAACTCCCTATCTCTTTTCTTTCTTTTCTTTTCTATATTCGTTCCATTTCTATTTCCCTTTTTGACAGAATATCCATCATTTTCAACTCTTTTCTTTCTCCTCCACAAACTTGAATAGGGTCTAATTGAATTTTGGACTCTTTTTCGACTGAAAATTCTTTTCCGAAGGCACTTTTTTCTGTGAATAGTCTTTGAGTGATTGTAGAAAAGAGAATTGCTTTTTTTTTTCCAAAGATATGTCTTTCTTTTTAAATCACAGCTATAAAATTAAACTTGCCAATGATTTAAATCATTTTCTTATCTACATTTAAAAGTTTATTTCATTATTTCAATCTAAATTTCGTTATATTCTGCTTTTTTTAATGAAAATTATACTTTATATTTATCGATTTTTAAGACAAAAGTTCTACTTGATCAAAAAATTATTTCTTGATTAGTAGACGTTGTTTGAATTAGTCCTATATAAAGAATTACTCAAACAATTTCTTTTGTTTATAAAATGAAAATGGTTTTCTGAAAGAATAAAACCTATTTTTAATTCGAATTTTAGGAAATTCAAAGTTTTCATTTAAATTTTAATAAAATAACTCAAAATAAGTCAATAATTTCCTTTGGTTTCTCATCTTTTCCTTCTTCTTTCTTCTTCTTTCTTCCTTTCCCTTCCGATTTCTCCGATGAATTCAGTTATCTCCTTCCTTTTTTTCTATCAGTTCCCTTTTCTAATGTTTTCTCAACAAAACATCAACCTTCTTTTGATAGAAAAACGTACTGCCATCTTCTCTTTTCATCACTTTTTTTTCTTTTTGATTATAAAAAGAACCTTGATACCGTATTTTCTCTAAACCGCTTATCAGAACCTATTGATGTGGGGGCGGAAAATGTAGCTGACGATGAGATCTATTGGGGAATTTGAGTGTTGAGCTTCTGCAAAAGCTTGGAAACCGTAAAATAGTCACTAACTCGGCTCGACGGGGTGCACTACTATTAGAGGATTCGGCTACCACTGGATTAAGCTAAAACTATTGTAATCTAGAAATTAAATGCCTGAGAAAGAGGTATCACCTCACAGATGTTACCGTAATCTGCCAAAGCTGCTTGCTCTATTCTTTTTCTCTCTAATAGTAGTGCATCCCGGCGAGCCGAGTTGGTGACTATTTTACAGTTTCTAAGTTTTCCCAGAAGCTCAACACTCAAATCCCCCACAAGATCACATCGTCAGCTACATTTTCCGACCCAACATCGATAGGTTCTGATAAGCGGTTCTCGAGATTTTGAGGAATTTAGGGGACGCTCAGGGTGTACTACTATTAGAGAAAATACGGTATATATTGAGGAAGTAGAGGGACAAGAGAATTTCCAAGATTTTGACAATTGTTGAATAGAATAGTTGATAAGAATAGGACGGTCCCAGACATAAATCAAAAATCTCTTTTTTCTTTAAAAACGATTCTAAGTGATAGTCTTTGATCTAAAAGATGCAGAAAATATGTTTGAAAAGTGAAAATCTTGACCCCACTGGACGATCTCTCTGACGATCTATTATTAGAGAAAATACGGTATCTACATTCGAATATCATAACTCTACAACTAAATCAAGAATAATCTCTTTGTCAATTCTCTTTCTAAAATCAAAAATCCCAATCCAATTCCATTTCATTTCTATTTTATTTTAGAAAACAAAAGGCGTCAGCAATTTTCTCACTATATCTCTTGATTCGTATCTCTTGATTCGTATCTCTTGAGAGATTTCTCTGAACTAAAAAACAAAAAGAACACTTTCTATTCGCTGAATGACACCAAATTTGATTCATAGAATCTCTTTGTTTGGAGAAAAATACAAATAGAATTTGTTTTTCGCCAATTCACATCGCTTTCCTCATTTTCCCTCCCAAAAATCCCGTCACATCAAAAAGCGCTTTCGGAAATGCACAGAGCACACGCAACTTCAAAAAGTGCCTCATAGTCTTCAAAAAAAAAAAATCGAAACCGAAATCGAAAACTTCAAAAAAGATTTGTGGATTTCTCGGATTACTTAAATCGAATCGATTCCCTTCCCAACTTTGCCCGTTCTTCCATTTCTCTCTCATCTAACTGATTCGGATTGGTAATTCTATCCCCTGACGGCTCATATTTACCTCATTTTTTCCCTTTTTTTTCCCAATTTTTCTTTGTAATCCAGAAAATCTAATCCCTTTTCGACAAATTGATCTCTTTTTGTCGGAAATTTATTAAAAAGCTTGAGTTCTTTCGAAAGAAAACGGTTAATCCGATTGATTTTTCTTTTACTTTTCTCCTCTCAATTTTTCATTATTTTTGTAAATTGTAGCAATGTGTATAGTGTACTTTTTTGGGTAGTAGGCTTTTTTTATCGAATTCATCGGTATTCTGAAATGAAAGGTTACAATTCCCTTTGGAATAAGCTTCAATTCAATTTGCTCATTTGATTCAACGCGATAGGATTGTTGTATTAGATTATAGATTTGTTTGCCTTGAAAGTTTCATTTTTCTCTTGATAGAGTCAATTTTATGCTTTAAAATCAATCAAAATTTGTATATTTGTATCAAAATAAAAAGAAATTAAAAGAAAAATGAAGCGCTCAATGGATAAAGTACATTATTCTTCATCCAAATCTTTGGTTTTGTTCTTGGAATCGATTCTGGTTCAAAAAAACCGCAAAGCAGCTCTTCCGCAGACTGTTAACATTATTTAACAGCTAGAAAATCAATTACTTTATAGAATTAATGAGTCTCTAAAAGGTTTTATACCATTTTGTTAAAAGATTTCTTATTAATATCTAGAAATACAAAAAAATCGACAAAAGATGAAGTTAATCAAAGCCTATACCAAGAATAATATCGAAATTTCATCAAATTCATCGATACTCTTAAAGAAAAAATCGGCTAACCTTAATTTTCTCATTTTTCGGGGCAGATTTGGATGGATCCAATCCCCAAATAGAGGAGATGAGATCCCCTTCTATTCCCCGTCTATTCCCCGTCTACTCCCCATCTATTCCTCTCCTTTGCTTTCCCTCAACTCGATCCACATCCAATTTTTCATCCGAATCTTTCCCCATTCTCTTCTTTTCTCGCTCAATCTTTTCTTTTTTTGTTTGACCAAATCCTTGAGTGAAGGGAAACCCTAGATGGACCCGCTTCCCTCTCTTTTTTTATCTTTTCCTGTTGATTCTCTACACTTTAAATGTTTTTTATCTCAATTTTTGACTCATTCATAGAAAAAGAATCATTTTAAGATCTCTTTGCTCTTGATCTCTTTGCCATAACTTGCTTCAAGTGTTACTGGATCACTTTATTCGGATTATCTACTAGATTTCTGTGATAAGCCAAGCTTTGCTAGCTATTAAGCTAGCTATTTGATCTAACTCAAATAGCTAGCAAGGATTGAAGCCAAGCTTTGCTAGCTATTTGAGTTAGAAAATCAAATGTAAAACTATTTCTTTTGTTCCAATTCTCCTTTGAACTCTGTAAATGCCACTTTGTCATCACAGCCAGCAATTAGTACAGTGGAATTGATTTTTCGGTAAACTCGCTTCATAAAAGTTTTTATTAATCAATTCGTTTATACAATGACTTCTTGATTTCTTGACTTTTTTTACACTGCCTATTTTGGCGTATATGTGCATAAAGGTGATTTCTATAGTTTATTAGAAAACCTGCTGCACAGCTTTTTTTGATTTGCCTATTTCAGTAGGACTTTTTTGGGTCAAATTGTAGATTTTGAGCCAAAGAAATCCTACTGAAGTAGTCAAATTATCAATTAAAGAAATGAAAAGAATTTTACGAGTGTAACAAGAACAAACGTCAACTTTATCCGAAACCATTCAGCCTTTTGATAATCGTTTTTAAATTCACTTGAATACGTGCAATATTTCACTCAAAAAATCTTTAATTTTAAAGTCTCAAGTTCAATATTTGAGTTCAATTATGCATACTCGGCTTCTCCCGATTTCACCCGTATTCCACGCCTGAACACTTTCACTTTCACCCATTGGTCAAGCTTTAAATCTCAATTTTTTTCATTTTTCATTGTATTTATCTTTTTTCTATTTTTAGCTTTATAATGTAGTAAAATCTAAATTTGTTTTTTTAAAAACTACAACTGTCAGGAGCAGATTTTTTTAAGGGGAAAGATGGGGGAAAAGATGGGGAAAGTTTTCAGCGATACATATTCAATTTGGTGAAGCGACGAGGCAATGAACAAAAAGAATAGAAATAGAGGGAAGACTTTGAAAGACTTAAAAAACAGAAGGAAATTCTAAGATTGGGTATTAGATTGTAAGCCAAGGAGATCAAGATCTAACCGAAAGATTTTATAGAACGACAATGAATGGGGAATCTCCATCAGTCGAGCTTATCTTTGCTGTTACTTTGCTTACTTACTTAATTAAAGAAAAAGCATGCGTAAAGTCTTTACAACAAATAAGTTGGATAGAATTTTAATGAAAATTTGATAATATCATTTCCGTAGTAAGTTTTAGGGATGAGCCCTAGAATTGGGAAGAAGTACGAAGAATTCGTGATTGGAAACGAGAAAGGCAGAGGAGCAAAAAAGACTTCTAGACCTCCTTTTTCCCAACACAAAAGACAATAGACAAGTAACTTTGTCTTTTCCAAAGTTTCAGGTTTTTTTTAAGCAAATCTTGCTTAATATTTTGGCATTGTTCAATCAAAATCTGACCTTTAAAAATCGATTTATCGTTAAAGCGAACGTGCATCAATTTTCTTTCATTCTTTTCAATAAGCAAATCCATTTATCCACCGAATACTTCATTTATTTCAAAAAAAGCGCTTTTTCTTTGTTGATATAAAGTGGCTTCTTTTTGTCTCTCTCTCTCCAACTAGCCAATTTTGTGAATTCTTTGCAAAAGAAAGAAAAGAGAAAGCACATGTGAAAGCGATCATTCCCTTTGACTTTTGCTGAAACAAAAGAAAAATTTCGGATAAAAAGGAAACAACAGTTTTTCTGTATTGAATTTAAAAGCAATGGCCTTTCCCGATAATCGCAAATTCTCTGTGATTCCGCCCGAAAGCTTTCGTTTCTCAGCAACTTTACCGGAGAATTGTAAGTTTTATCTCAACTTTGAAATTAATTTGATTCAAAAACTGTTTATCAAGAAGTTGAAAGCATTAGTAAGATCATTTTGTCTACGAAAATTCAAATCCAAACAAGAGAATCAAAACTGGAACCCTACCAAAACTCAAGCTACCAATCCCAAGCTACCAATCACGACCAAAACCCGATCTAAATTTGTGTTTTGGTTTCTTTGTGCTTAATTTGATAACTAAACCAGATTTAAAAGTGTCAGAATTTGATTTATAAAACTTCTCAACACTGGAAATGTTTTATGATGAGAACCAGCTTAACTAAACCGAAAAGGTTCTCAATTAAACTTTATTTATCAACTATCAAATCCAATGAACATTTCCACATAAAATCCTCTTCAAAAGCATTAAATCTTGTACTCAAAATGATCAATGATCATATTCTTTTGTTCAATTTTCGTTAGCAATCAATTTTCTTGTTTTCTACTCTTTGATAAACTCACTTCAGTTTAAAAAATCTTTAAATTCGATGAAGAAAATGGACTAAATTCCTAATAATTCTTATATAAAAATGGAAAATCCGGGTACCGAAGTGATCCTTCCACCACAGGAATATGTGAGAAAGGAAAGAACACCGTTTCGAATTGACGTTTGTAAGTGAAGAAAGAAGATCTGGAATGGATTTTGTGAAAATTACTCGTTGTCGTACTCGTTGTGTTGTTCTTTAAAAAAGCATTTAATCTCATTTACTTATTCGTTCATTTTCAGCGAATATCCAGAACGAGTTCGGCATTTGTGGATGGATTCTGACGATTCTCTCCTATTTACTCATCTTTTTTACACTGCCCATTTCGGCGTGTATGTGCATAAAGGTGATTTCTATAGTTTATTAGAAAACCAGTTGCACAGCTTTTTTGATTTGCCTATTTCAGTAGGACTTTTTTGGGTCAAATTGCAAAGTTTTTGAGCCAAAAAAATCCTACTGAAATAGTCAAATTATCAATTAAAGAAATGAAAAGAGTTTTACGAGTGTAACAAGAAAAAACGTCCACTTTACTGGATTCTGACGATTCTCTCCTATTTACTCATCTTTTTTACACTGCCTATTTCGGCGTGTATGTGCATAAAGGTGATTTCTATAGTTTATTAGAAAACCAGTTGCACAGCTGAAGAGCTGCTTTGTTTAGTTTGCATCTGAATCCTCTTTCCTTAATTCTTTCCAAATTCTGATAGACAATTTTTCAAATGATAATCTAGTAGAGTATTATCATAAACATTGTAATAGATGGGCTCCTCCTCACACAAAATTAGTCGCCCAAAAAGTCAATATTTTTCCCTCTCCTTTCGGACTTCCCAAAAAATCACATAATTACACTTTTGAAAAAGAGTTTGACTTTTGAAAAGTGCTTAGAATGGTTTATATAGGCTATATCTATAACCTAAAAAGGTTTGAAGTAAAATTTAAAAGGATCTAAAACAAAATGTTCAAAATTGTAAGGGGGGACCATTATCATTTTTGAGAGGTCGACCTTCCAGAGGTCAAGACTGACTTTCTTCTTTTAAACATGTTTTTCGTTCATTTTAGAGCATTTCCAATCGAGCTAGAGTGATTTTAAAACATTTTTTTTTTCTTAAAACTTATATATCGTTCCCCTTATGTGATTTTTTGGGAAGTCCGAAAGGATAGTGAAAAATAGAAGAGCATCCCCTTCAATTACAATATTTATGATAGTTTTTCTTATTCTATTCTATTCAAAAGTACGAACTCAATTCTAAATTCTATTCAAAAACAGCAAATCCATAAAATCAGTAGTTTTATGCTAAAAAAAACGTTTTTAGCCACTTTTAGCCCAAATTTGGTGACTACTAGCTAAAGGAAAGGACAAAACTCAACTTAAAATGGGTATTTTGGAATGGGGAAAAGGGAAAATGGGATAAAAGAGCTCGATTACCCATTTCTTGTTTTGGTGAACACACTCACCGACACACAACTTCCAGCTGGGGTTCAGTGGTTAGAAACGGAAAGAAAGAAAGAAAGAAAGAAAGAAAGAAAGAAAGAAAGAAAGAAAGAAAAAAGAATTGTAATAGGTTTAAAATCTTGAAATCTTTTGCTTATCCTAACTATTTACAAATGTTTTTTTTCAAGGTTAATTAAAAAAGAAACCAATTTGGTTTTTTGTTTTTAGATTTTAGATTTTTTTACGTAAAGAATCTCTAAATTAAGAACAAATTAATGAGAAAAAAGATTGCGAATCAACTATTGTTTACGAGAAAGTTTAGTTTTTAAATCAAGAAGTTTTTTTTTATTTCCAGTACTTTTTCCTAGTCGATTGCATAGCTATTCAATTTCCTCACTCCCGTAAGAGGCTCACTTTCACTTGAATCCAAATTTCGATTTGAGAAAATAAATGTCTATAGAAGTGTTGAAAGAAAATCGAACTTGAAAACAAAAAAAAAAGTATCTTATAGGTTGTGCAAGAGTACGAAAGAGCAGTCATTTTCCGGTTGGGTCGATTGATGCCCGGTGGAGCGAAGGGGCCTGGTAAGGAAAAGTTATCCATTTTAAAGTTACCGTTAGTTAAGTACAGTACTGGACAATGAAATATGATATTTGAAAAACGATCGTCACTTTCGCGCGTCTGTAACGCCCTTGTTTTTGAGTTTAAACTATTAGTGTTATACATTTTCTGAAAGCTCTTTTCAAGGGCTACACAATGGCATATATTAATATTTAGAAATACGGTAAAGACAAGGGAGTTACAGACGCGCGAAAGTGACGATCGTTTTTCGAATTTGATATTTCATTGTCCAGTAATGTAGTTAGTTAAAGTAGGTAATTATGTTTCTTTTCATTGAAAGATATCATAAAATTAAAGCTCTTTTCTTTATTTTAAATTCTTTTTAGGTATTTTCTTCATAGTGCCATGCATTGATACGTATCGCAAAGTGGATCTCAGGGTTTTATCTTTCGAAGTCCCACCACAAGAGGTTTGTGGAAGGAAAAGTGTTACAATCATTGAAAATATATTTATATTAACGCAAAATGATATTGTTATACATTGGAAAAGATATTTTAAGTGGATTTATTTCAGATTTTGTCTAAAGATTCGGTGACTGTGGCTGTTGACGCAGTCGTCTATTTCCGGATATCAAATGCAACGATTTCAGTGACAAATGTCGAGGATGCGGCTCGGTAAAGTATAGAATAGAGTGCAGTGCGTGAGAGGGTACCGATGGGGCAATGCTTATTAGATATTTATTCCGAATATAACACAATTACTAATCTAGCGAGAAAATATAATAAAATAGAATCAATCGTTGGTTCAGTGTTTCAAAGCCAAAAGAAAAGCAATACAAAGTGGCCTCCGTCTCCTTTTCTTTAGAGGAGCTCGTTGTTATTATGGATTACTATAACACAAACGATCTTTAGAGGAAGAACAAGAGAATCAGAGATATTAAAAATCAAATTATCAAATAAGATATTTCACAGAAAAGAGCTACTTTTCTGCACAGAATAGCATTTCATTTTATGCAAATAATAACTTTGTATCATATCTTTTAGATCAACAAAACTCTTGGCGCAAACAACTCTGAGAAACATTTTGGGTACAAAGACGCTCGCTGAAATGCTCTCGGATCGAGAAGCGATCTCTCACCAAATGCAGGTTTGGATTGGAAAATGATGATAGTTTAAATCTTGAAATATAAATCTATTCCAGAATACTCTTGACGAGGCCACCGAGCCGTGGGGAGTGAAAGTCGAACGAGTCGAAGTGAAAGACGTTCGATTGCCCGTTCAATTACAAAGAGCAATGGCTGCTGAAGCTGAGGCGGCTCGAGAAGCGAGGGCTAAGGTTGGGAAAAGTTTAGAAGAAAATAGAGAAGTCACTAGGCTAGCTGTTGATTCGTTTATCGGTTTTTAAAGCGTTTTTTTAAGTGGCTGAAAGAGAGCAACTGAGCCAATCATTTTTTTTGCACTTTAAACTTTCAAGGTTCAAGAATTAGTCCAAAAATCGATCAAATTTGAATCCAAATAGATTTAAATTACTTGAATTTTAGGTGATCGTGGCTGAAGGAGAGCAAAAAGCTTCACGAGCGTTGAAAGAAGCCGCTGAAGTGATCGCCGAATCTCCATCAGCTCTTCAACTCCGATATCTGCAGACGTTGAATAGCATTAGGTAATTGTTTAATCCTTAATCAATTCAACTTTTCTTTATCTCTTTAATTTCATCTTTTCTAAACAACTTTTTTAAAAGTTTTATCTCTAAATTTAGTGCCGAGAAGAACTCAACTATAATCTTCCCATTCCCAATCGATCTATTGAGTGCTTTCCTACAAAGAGCTGCTCCAAAAGTGTATGTTTTACAAGAATCTTGCTTAAGTATTTCAAAAAATTCAATTCACAAAGCTAGCTATCAAGCTTCACAAGTATTAGCTATTGTTAGCTTAAAGCACTAAATGAATACACTTTTTTTTTTACGTTCATAAGCTTCAATAAAAAATGGCTATACAAGCACAAAAGCTTTAGCAAAGAAACAAAAATATACCGTAAATGCTGTAATAGTGCCCCAGCCCCATAATGTTTTTATGGGGAGTGTTGCGTAGTCTAGCCTTGAACGAGTTTTTCTCGACACTGGTTTATGCTATAATGCACGCTTAGGTATCAAAAAATAGCTGAAATTCAGGGTTATTTTTTGATACCAAAGACACATTTTTTGAAAGTACGGGTGCTTTGAAAAAAATGAAATACTAAAAAGCTTTCGCGACTACGCGACTGTACGAGGGGGGTGCGGTCCAATTACAGTATTTACGGTAAGTACTCGTGGCTAGTTTGTGTAATTACAGTATACAGTACTATTACAGTATACACTGGATTTGAATTATAGACTTTTATGCAACTTGAGAAATCACTTTCACAAGAATCAGATTCTAGGCCACATGCAAATCAAGCACTAATTTTTATTTGCCTGCTTATTTCAGCTCTGCCGAGCTAGGCTTGGCCGGTTGTTCGACTTCTTCAACGAAACCTCACAGTAGCTGAGGGGCAGGCGGTCGTGGTGATGGATGGGAAAAGGAAAACAAACAGCAAACTCCACAAACCATCATTTGTTGGGGCACAGATGAATGGGAAGAAGAAGAAGAAGAAGAGCTCCCGATTGACCCACGATCCTCGACCGCCCCCAGCCATTCACTACAGTATCCCTACCCTTTACAATTTCCCTTACAATATCCCTCTTCTCCCTCATCTCTATCTCTTGCACTTGGACCTAGACTGTCTCAAGGTGCTCTCTCGCCCATATCTGAAGTTGGTTACGCTGCCGAAAGTGAATATGATTACTCGGATTTTGAAGAAACTAATTATTAAGTTAGTTTTCTAAAAAGTGTGTTTAATGAAAAGGTACTGTATCACCAGCGTCTAGATAAATCTGTAGTTAGTATTTAGTGTACTTTAAACTTGAATTCAACTTCTGATTGAACTCTAGTATAAGCAAAATGATCAATAAACAAATCAGTACCTTTTCCTTAAGCGCATCTTTTAGAAAACGGTAATCAAAAGCAGTTTTAGTTTATTGAATAACAGGAAAAGATTGGTAAAGATTGTTCAGCTAAAACTCGACTTTTCTTAGCAGAATACTGTACTTTTATCTAAAATGAAACAAGAATTCATTTCCTGTTGTTTTTTAGAGTTTGTAAAGCATTATCTTAAAGAAGGGGTGTCTAATTTATAACATTTTTTGTTAACCCTCAGTTCTGCTATTGTTAATTGATAAATATACATGGTAAAAACAGTAAAAAAAACATTTGGCTAGGCTAATTTGTTTTTCTTCATAGTTTTCCAGAGCTTACAATAAACTTTCTACTAGTGGGGCACTTCAAAATCGAATATAATATTGATAAAAAGGATATTATGGTAGTCTAAAAATCTATATATCTATAAAAAGTTATCAAGAAGATCTTACAGAAATATTTAGGCTAAAAAAGGAAATGGAATTTGGTTGAATAATTGTTGAGATATTGGCTGAAGTGCCCCACTAGCAGGAAGCTCGGCTTCGGCTGAACCGTTTCCAGCGAGTCCGTTCCATAACCAGAGAAGAGAACTCTGGCTCGGACCTAGCTAGGTGTCACCGAGTTAATTTGCGTTACCGCTCGATGCACTCAGAAGAGTATAAATCTCCGTATCCGGGTACGGGAATATTAACCCGTTTCCCTTTCGATTACCGAGAGAGAAGAGATTTCCCGCTCTCAGTGATACAAGACTTTCGTCAGTAGCTTAGGATCGACTGACCCACATTCAACTGCTGTTCCATTGTCCCACTAGCAGGAAGCCATTGTAAGCTCTGAAAGATAATGAAGAAAAACAAGTTAGCCTAGTTTCTTACTGTTTTTACATGGATATTGATCAGTTAACAATAGCAAAACAATAGCAAAATAATATCCAAAAACGTTATACAGTAGTCCCCTCTTTAAAGTTTAACATTGAATTTTTCAATCCCACGAGCTTCTCACATTTTAATCATCTCCAATTTTGTCTGAATTGAAAAAATACGGGCATTTTGCCGTTTTTTAACTACTTTTGTTGTAACTTATCGCTTTGACAATCACAAAATTTTTTAATTTGCTTTATTTTTCTTCATTTCTTGTTCTCTCAATTCATTTTTCTTTCCGTTTTCTTTTTTTTTGTTTATTCTTTTCATTTCAAACACGGTGATATAGAAATTTTATCGTTTTTTTTGATTTGTACAGAATAAATAAGTTTGAATTGAAGGGAAAATTGGAATGGCTTTGCTTTGACAGAAAAATGGAAAAGATCGGAGAATTGCATGGAATGGAAAAGCTAAAGAAGCTGTAAACAATCACTTTGGCAAATAAAATTATAAAAAAAACAGTTACTTTGCACAAGTCTTGTTTGGCTATCACATAAATTGGCTATTTCAAGGCGATAGAATTCACTTAACACATTCACGGAGTAGGCTACTAGGGTCGTTTGCGACTCGCCATAACTTTCTTTTAAGTGGACCAATCTTTATTATTTTGGTTTCATTTTGTAGATCTCAATAAGTGCAACAAAATGATACCAAAATCATAATTGGCCCACTTAGAAGAAAGTTATGGCGAGTTGCGCAAACGACCCTATTGCGCAAATGACCCTGTTGCGCAAAAAATGAATTTGGCGCAAAGTAGCCTACCCCACATTCACGACTACTAATGACGATTATTTTTAGTGAAAACTCAAGTTTTGTTATTTATTTTGCAAGAAAGTTCTCGGTAAATTCGCTGTTTTTCAAGAGAAATTTTAGAGCCATCGAATTGTAAATTCTAATAGTTTAGTTTATTTTTTTCCATCAATGCTCAATAAAACAGTTATCAACTATGCGAATGCGTTAAAACAGACTTGTTAGTAAAACGGATACTTGTCATCAAGAAGAAAAAAAATCTTGCTTGTTAGACAAGGCCAAATCCGTGAACGAGGCAATTACATGAAATTGTGATTGCGATTAAACAAGTTTTAACAATCTTCCCCAGGGATTAGTTATAAAATCTTAATGATTAAAGTACTGGATCTCTTCTAGTCTTATTAAGAAAGGCATAAGACGACGGAAATGGGATAAGTCTCAGTGTTGCTCATTGGTAGAGCGTTCACCCAATAAGCGAGAGATCCCGGGTCCAAATCAAATCATGTTTTGTATTCCTATCCCTAAAAGAACCGGCGTGTCCAACTATAAAGCTCAATGTCCCCGTGGCCACTTGTATAGAAGTCAACGCTCGTGATTTTTTTGTTTATTTTTTCGGGTAGGCTAATTTCGACAATTTCTTTTTGCGCAACTCGCCATAACTTTCTTCTAAGTGGAGTACTCCACGTACACTAGGTCTCATTTTGAAAGGCCATCTTGACCTAGTGCCTTTCCCTCGTAAAGCAGGGAATTTGATCATGCCCTTCTCTCATTCAGCTAAAAATCCCTCACGTGGTTCAGTGGTAAAAGTGTTTGTACTCAAAGAGGAGAAATTAACGTCTTCTTTTGCAAAAACTTGGCAGCACGGGGATTTGAACCAAAGGTGAAAAGTTGTAAATCTAGCACACTATCCACTAGGCCACAAGCTCACATTTGACTATCGATAAAGAAATTTAAACGTAGGCGAATCGGGGTTTTTGTATGCCAAATATCTCGCCTTACAGAGCCCCACTGGAAAAACTAGAACCGGATTCGGAATCAGTGTGAAAAGTTCTATCAAGTACACTAGGTTTCATTTTGAAAGGCCATCTTGATCTAGTGATTTTCCCTCGTAAAGCACGGAATGTGATCATACTCTTCACTCATTCAGCCAAAAATCCCTCACCATTCTTATTCCAGTCGAATTTTTGATTTATCATTTAGAAAATTTTCCCTTAACTTTCTACCATTTTTTTCCCTGTCTAGACAAGAGCTGATCGCAAAGATTTTATCGCAAAGACCCTCATCCACGCTCCAAATTATATAAAAGTGTATTTGCATTTAATGAATAGCAAAAAGTTTAGAGAAATCTTTTTAGAGAAGAAACCCCACAAGTGCACAAGAAGATCCGGAATTGTTGTGTCTATAAGTATCCGGATTGGGTTCAAGGATTGGCAAAACCGCAACATCATCATCACTCTCCACAGCCACAAAGACCGCCACAAACCGCAACAAGGTTGATTGATTGATTGGCTATAAGTGTTGAAGAGTAGATATTGTGGGAACACTTTCAGAGCTCCTATCAAGACCATCTTTTTAGCAAATTAAGTTGGTAAAAGAGTTTGAGTTTAAGAAGAAAAGCTATTGAGTTTCTAATGAACTATTAGACTTTAGTAAAGTAATCATACCTGAAATCAGATCAGAGTAGATAATTTTGCATAAATTTTCAGTCCACCTAGATCACGTAAAGTAAAAATCTGTACTTTGCAAAAATTCTAGAAATTGTTTTGCTATGTTTTAAAACTAGTTTTTCGTTCAGTGTTCAAAAGAATAACGATAACGGCGTAAAGCAGAATTTGTCTATTTTTGAATAACTTCTTGAACTTTTCTGATCCTTTTCCCTATTATTGTTAATTTATAAGTTAATTGATCGTCTTTTTAACAAAGCAACAACTAACTTGCAATTTAGACTAAAAATCGAGGGTAGAATCTGCACAACATGTGAACAGAATTAGTCTTAACCCGGTCTTGGTTTCAATTCTTTCCCAATTCTTGTTCTTGTTCCCAAAAGTTGTATCTCATACTCTTGTTTCAGCGTAAAAGAAAGAAAATGAAATGGAAATTTGATCTTCTTTTCTTTTCTTTTCTTCTGATAATGAAGTGGAATAATGAACGGACTCGTTCACAACTGTTGTACAAAGAGTGAGGGGAAAGAATCAAGAGATTACAAAGAAGAGACAAATTTGAGATCTTCATTCTTGCTATTGTTGCTAGAGTAGACTATGCTATTGTTCATTTATTCATCATGAACTATCGTTTTCCGATGAGAAATGGGTAAATGAATTTTCTCTTTTGCTCATAAAGCTTTAAGAGCTTATTCAAAAGGTTATTCAAAGAGTTAGACTGGTAAATTTTTTAGGTAAACCATATCTAGATACTTGCTTTATCTTGAAATATTCTTTTTCAGCTAAATTTGTTTAAATTCTTCTTTAAAACCAAAAATCTCATGTCACGAAAAGCTTGTCTCAATTTAGAATCCGTAAAATTTACTTTTAAAAAGCTTGATAGGTAAACTTGATTAGTTACTGTAGTAGTAGATGTAGTAGTAGGTGTAGTAGTAGATGTAGCAGTAGATGTAGCAGTAGATGTAGTAGTAGATGTAGTAGTAGATGTAATAGTAGATGTAGTAGTAGTAGATGTAGCAGTAGATGTAGTAATAGTAGATGTGGTAGTAGTAGATGTAGTAGCAGATGTAGTAGTAGTAGTAGTAGATGTAGCAGTAGATGTAGTAGTAGTAGATGTAGCAGTAGATGTAGTAATAGTAGATGTAGTAGTAGTAGGTGTAGTAGTAGACGTAGTAGATGTCTAACCTATTTTTGTAGATGTTCTAGTGTCGTTCTAAGGTTGTTGAAAGACTAAAAATCTAAAAGTGAAAGATTAAGGTGGCAAAGTTTTAAGGGGAAAGCTTTAAGGAAGTTTTAAGGGGAAGCTCTTTTCTTATCATAAAATAATGTGATCTCATTGAATTCCCCTATTAAAATGCGTTCAAATCTTTCTCTTTTCAAACTCTTTCCATTCCACCACCCCCAACAAACATAAATCTAAGGATCAACAAAAAATGAGCACAAAAAGGGAGCATATGTTGAAGAAGATTTGAAGAGAAAAGATTTGGATTTAGAGAAATCGAGAAATTTAGAGGAAAAGCCGAGTCACCTGAGACCCAAAGACCATTTCGTGAAAAGAAATCTTAGTCTTTTCGCGAGGAAAATTTTGGAAACATTTGCAATGACCTTCTTGTAGCAGAACATGTAACTTTTTCTATATTTTCCTAAACTCTAAACTCTATTTTCTTTTCTTTTTTACTTCAATGCGCTGTCTTGGGCATAATCCAGAGATCAAGATTTGTCAAGATGAGGAGGAATGGTATAACTTTTGTGTTTCTAAATTCTAAAACATTCTGAGATTTCTAATCGATAGAAAACTATTTATGAGTCGGTTATGAAGATTCCAAGAACTTCTAGGCATTGTTCTTATTTCAGATTATATAAATAAAGAGTTTTTTTTAGTCAAACATAGCAAAAGATTTCTAGAATTTTGCAAAGTACAGATTTTTACTTTACGTGACCTAGGTGGACTGAAAATTTATGCAAAATTATCTACTCTGATCTGATTTCAGGTATAATTACTTTACTAAAGTCTAATAATTCATTAGAAACTCAATAGCTTTTCTTCTCAAACTCTTTTACCAACTTAATTTGCTAAAAAGATGGTCTTGATAGGAGCTCTGAAAGTGTTCCCAGAATATCTTCAACCATTTCATTTTCTTTCTTTTACGCTGAAACAAGAGTATGAGATACAGCTTTTGGCAACAAGAACAAGAATTGGGAAAGAATTGAAACCAAGACCGGGTTAAGACTATTTTCTGTTCACATGTTGTGCAAATTCTACCCTCGATTTTTAGTCTAAATTGCAAGTTAGTTGCTGCTTTGTTAAAAAGACGATAAATTAACTTATAAATTAACAATAATAGGAAAAGAATCAGAAAAGTTCAAGAAGTTATTCAAAAATAGACAAATTTGCTTTACGCCGTTATCGTTATTCTTTTGAAGACTGAACGAAAAACTAGTTTTAAAACATAGCAAAACAATTTCTAGAATTTTTGCAAAGTACAGATTTTTACTTTACGTGACCTAGGTGGACTGAAAATTTATGATTTCAGATATGATTACTTTACTAAAGTCTAATAGTTTATAAAAAACTCAATACCTTTTCTTCTTAAACTCTTTTAATGTGCTAAAAAGATGGTCCATTACTTTTTACAGCACTGAGAAAATGAGGAAGAGGAATTGAGAAGAGAAAAGATTGACTCTCCTTAAAAATTTCTCTTTTCTTTCAATAGGTGCCACAAATCAAAATCCTTTTTTTAAAATCACAGCTGATCGATCAATCTTTTCTCTATTTCATTCTTTTTTCTTTTGATTGTTTCAAGTGTCAACTGTTGCATCACAAAAAAAAAGAGAATTGACTTAAATAAGATTCACTAGACTATATAAATATTAGCATTTTCTCAAAAAAAAATATAACTTAAGCTAATTTTTCGTATAGTTTTTGTGAATAAAATGTTAGAGACAAAACTTTTTTTGTGGTCTTATTCTTAAAAATAATATCTGGAAATCAATATTGTCAATGATTGTCAATGATCAATGATTACTTTACTAAAGTCTAATAGTTCACGATTACTTTTTACAGCTCTGAGAAAACGAGGAAAGGGAATTGAGAAGAGAAAAGATTGACTCTTTTCAATCTTTTCAATCTTTTCTTCAATCTTTTTATCATCACTAAAGATTGTTTAAAAATGTAAAAGAATTTTAAAGACTTGATAAGAATTACAATTAAATAACAGTAGTTTTTAGAAGTTCTCAAACTCTTTCACCAATTTAATGTGCTAAAAAGATGGTCCATTACTTTTTACAGCTCTGAGAAAATGAGGAAAGGGATTTGAGAAGAGAATGATAGATTTAAAGGCGTTACTCAAGAGAAACATTCTCTAATTTCTTTGATTTGACTCTGACTTTTCTCCCATCATTTACAAAACACTGTCAACAAAATTGTAATTGAATTGTTTTAAGGTAAAATTTGAGTTTAATTGAATCAGATTGTTAATAAATAAATAAAAATCTAAAGAAACAAGAAATTTATTTATTTTAAGCATGCGAGATGGTGATCTCCACTCAACACAACCTCAACCAGGTCCATCTTCAGGTTTGAATGTTTTTTTTTAAAGAAAAAGATGATAAAACAAATATTTATCAAATGAAATAAAGAAAATGATAAGAATTAACCCGTATGGTAATTTTATAGAATACATAAAACAATAATAGACAATAATTCTGTAGAAGACGATCTTTAACTCTTTTAGTCAGCGTATCGGAATCGATCGGAGAGAATCTAAAAAAAAGAAAACTACTTTAAAGATAAAATAAGTTTATGATGTTAAATTTATATGGATTTTCTCTCCATTTTCCACTAACCCTTGGCTTTTTATCGTTTGGATCCAAAATGAGAACGAGAGATTGAGTAAAATTGTGCTCGATTCCTCCAACGATTACTGAACCGCCAATGTTCGCTGTCTAAAATTGAGTTTTAGATTCTATTTGGATAGAAGAACTACCGTAAATACTGTAATAGTACCCGACCCGCATAATGACGGTGCGGAGCGTTGCGTAGTCTAGCTTTGAACGAGTTTTTCTCGACACTGGTTTATGCTACAATGCGCGCTTAGGTATCAAAAAATAGCCCTCGATTTCAGCTATTTTTTGATACCAAAGACGCATTTTTTGAAAATACGGGCGCTTTGAGAAAAAATGAAATACCAAAAAACTTTTGCGACTACGCGACTGTACGAGGGGAATGGGGTACTATTATAGTATTTACGGTAAGTAGTCGTGGCTAGTTTGTGTAATTATACAGTGGGCTTGAATTATAGACTTTTATGCAACTTGAGAAATCACTGTCACAAGAATCAGATTCTAGGCCACATGCAAATCAATGTTTATGTCATCATTTAAATCTCTACTTAAATTTTTTAGATTAAATTTGATTAAAATCTTACCATACATTCACCACCGAGTGTTTGTGAGGCAAGAGGAGAAAGCTTTTGAACATCGATTGATTGAACGTTGTGCTCGGTGTCAGGGATTGCTTGAAGATAGCTAAATTGAAGAAATAATAAGACACCGTAATATCTAAAAGGACTTTTGCATCTTATTTTCTATTCTAAATTCAAAGCTAAATCCTTTAACGAACTTTTTTATTGCTTCGGCTCCATTAACGGGATTTCCATTCCAAATCAGACTTGCATTGTCGTGATACATTTGTTCTAAGCATTCTCTTTTACGGTCAATCACCTAAAAATTGATTTGAAAAGGTTTAGATATTAAAAAAAGGTTTAATATTAATATTTTAATAGAAAAACATCTTTCACCTCATGATATAAATTGAGTAAAACCATCGCTTGCTCACAGGCTTTTCGATCGATTTCAGCCACATCTCCTGAAGACATTTTGAGCTAAATTCACAAATTTACATCTAAAACTGAATATCTTTAAAGTTTTTACAAATAATTGACTATGAAATTGATAAAAATAATGAAGAAATTGAAGTTAAATGGCAGGAATTTTATGCTGATAGTTGAGTGGGTAATTGTCTAGTAATTGTCTAGTAATTTCGATGAAAATCTATCAGTAAAATGAAGTAGTTTTATTAGAAAAGAGTCTTAAATCAAAAAAAAAAATTATATGTAGTTATAAAGTTTTTGAAAAGATTTACGAAAACGAGCATATCACCAATGAGAGAGTACGGTAGAAAGGGCAAGGGAATGGAATATAATATAAATACTTTATTCAGAAAGAAATAAAGTGCGAAAACGACATGAAAAATGTACTAGATAAAAGATGATAAAGTCACTTAAAATGCAACGAAATAGCCCTTTTAAAATCAGACACGGTGGAGATCAAACGCAACTTGTCGGGAAGGGCATTCCAAACTTTAGTCACACGATTTACGAAAAAAGCTCTAGAGGATTTAGAGAAAGCAGATACGGGATGCAAGATAAAAAGGCCAAAAGTCGCCAAAAGCCTCGAGTTTAGTCGAAAAAGATTTTTAAAAAGAGGGTTTTGATGTTTTCCTTTTACAATTTTAAAGCACTCAACCAAATCTATGATAAGACGGCGCACATCCGCGCGAAATAAGGCAAAAAAATCGTTTTCTATAGGATTTTTACGTTTGAATAGCCGATTGACGCACAAAAAAGTGCTGAATACGAAAATAAAAGAATTTTTGAAATCCCTTCGACAAATTTTTTAAAAATCGAGTTTTAGTGATTTTACTGTGTTAAATTTCAGCCATATTTTATTGTCGGAGCAAAATTTTGGAAACAAAAGCCTAAAACAAAAATGTAAACCGCAAGTTTTATTCTACGGACTTTTCTCTATCTTTTGAAAACAAAATTAATTAAAATTGCCCAGCCCTGATAATAAAGTTATAACCCAGGAACCCATTTTGAAAATAAAAATGGGGTTCCTGGGTTATTTTATTATCAGACCTGGGGCATTTTAATTAATTTTGTTTTCAGTGCAGCTTCAGAAAAGTCCGTAGAATAAAACTTGCGGTTTACATTTTTGTTTTAGGCTTTTGTTTCCAAAATTTTGCTCCGACAATAAAATATGGCTGAAATTTAACACAGTAAAATCACTAAAACTCGATTTTTAAAAAATTTGTCGAAGGGATTTCAAAAATTCTTTTATTTTCGTATTCAGCACATTTTTCTGCGTCAATCGGCTATTCAAACGTAAAAATCCTATAGAAAACACATTTTCGCGCGGATGTGCGGCGTTGTTCTAAGGTTTCAAGTGAGAAAAGTTTCAATTTATGTTTATACCTGACGGACGAATGAGTAGTTAGCAAAATCAATTTTGAATAGTGCTATTCGAGTAAAGTTTTTCTGAACCTTTTTGAATTTTGGTGGATTAGGGATTTAGAAATAGGTGACCAAATTAAAGAAGCATACTCGAGGATCGGGCGAACGTAGATAATAAAGCATTTCCTATATATATGGGAATGGGAAATGGATTTGAATGGGAAAAGGATTTGAATGGGAAATCGACTTGAATGTAGCCAGTATTGAACAAGAAAATATGCTAATTTTAAGCCAAAATACTTATAAAACCAATTTCTTTAGCAAACATCACCGAAAAACCATTGTTTCAGGCAATCAATCAAACTACTCTCATGCTGGCGGTCAAATGGACGGTACATTTTTAAGCTTTTTCTATGTGAACTGAGATATTAGTTGAAAACTGTCCCCTCCTGTCTCTTCTGTTAGATAGTTTCTTTTTGTAAATGAATTTGAATGATGCGAAGCATGGCTTGAGAAAATTTGAATCCACAAATTTAGGGCACCGGCCGCCGACGACACTCGCACAGAAGGGTCGATCATCGTCACAGGGAGGAGGACCCAATGTTCTACTCAAACAAGCAATTGCAAATCGAATTGGAAAAGATGAGACAATGAATCATGATGCACAAGTACAACAGCTTGATCGATCACTTTTAACTCATCCGGCTTGGTCGAGAGATCAAGATGGAAGGACTGGGTATAGTCCGAGATATGATGCTAGAGAGAAAGACTTTGTCAAACAGAAAGAATCAGGAAAGATTAAGATTCAAGATCTGGCAAAGAAAGCCGGAAAAGTTACGATAAAAGTCACATCTTCTAGAGAGAAATTGGAAGATATTGATTTGAAAGGAGCGAGAAAGTTGAGTCCGAGAAGATCTGTTTTGACAAGAGAAAACTCTGAACCATCATTGAGTCTGTCATCTAAAACAGAGACAACGATTAGAGCAATTCCAATCAAACAAGATGATCGATTGTTAAAAACAGAAAAGTTAAAGAAACCGAAAAATATTGGAGAAAGAAGAGAATCGTCTGTCAGTGATTCAAGTCGGATTTCTATTCAATCCGGAAAAAGTGTGAAATTCTCAGATCGAATCCAGATAACAGAAATCGAGAGACATGAAAGGGAGAGCTCATCCGAAGAAGATGCAGCAGTGATGAGTGATGATGAGATGGGAAAAGAAAGAAGGAAAAATGAGAAAGATATTAGTAGAGAGAGTTTAGATTTTGAGGAATTGGAGAGGAAAATTTTGGAAGAACAAAAGGAGTTAGAGAGCTTAGGAAAGAAGAAGAAGCCACCAATGCCGATGTATCGAATTTCTGGAGTGGAAACTGATTCACTTGCGAGTTTCTATCCAGAAGACGTACAACCGGATCGTTTTCTGATAGGAGAAGATGAGTATGAGTATGTTTCATTGGAACAATTACCCGATACTGTTCGAGAAGCTGTGATTCGAGACATGAATGAGGGGAACTTTTACGAAGAGATGGGAAGTCATGATGAAGGAAGTGGGATTAATTTGGGATCGATGAGTCGACTACACGAGGTACCAGAGTCAAATGATGAGATGCCGAGATCAGCTTCTGGATATTTTGATGAGAGTGGTTTACATGATTCTTATCAACAGGCAATGCAGAATTCTCAAAAACAGAAACCATCTGAGAATCTCTTTCAATCATTCTATGAAAATGTACAAGGTGGATATGTTGGAACGAGTTCACAAGATCGATACCCGAGCCCAGGAATGATTAATTCTAATATTCTCAATGAGATTCGTGCTGATCCAACGTATCCAACGAGTCCAATCCGAGAATTGTCTTTGAAAGAACAAAGGCAAGCGTTTTTTCGATCAATGTTACCAAATGAGCGATCAACGAGTGGGCCGACCTCACCAACTTCTCCTGAAGAAACAGAAATGAGGAAACAATTTGTGCAAAGATATGGGAGACGTAAAGCACCGATTGCTGAAGGAGATCCCGCTGATCCAAGGCCATCACTCGGTGCTTCACAAGATTCAGTAGTTTCATTGGGATCTCATGAATCTGTTGTCTCAGCGGCAAGTATTCGAGCTGAAAGAGCTGTGAGAAGGGATTTCAACTACTAGATTTGTGATTGTGCAAAAACTGGTAAATCACAGAATTTTAAAGGTTTAACTGAAGATTCGAAAAGTCTCATTAGATCTCTTATAGTATTTTATAATGAAAAGTCTTCAATCAATAAGACTAGAGGCAATTGATAAGACTTTTTTTGATAACAGATCAATATTTTACCGTTTTGTTGAGGCTATAGCTTTTGATTGATTGATTGATTGAAGACTGATTATGCTAAAGCCTTTAAATTTCCGTTAACTGCAGATTTTTAGGTCTACAATCGAAATTTTATATCATCAAACTGATTATAAGTCTTTAAAATCTAATTTTCTATCTTACAAATGAGAGATTTCTGATCAGAATTGTGAAAAATCGCTTTCTATTCGATTTTCATTTCAATTTTCAGCTCTTCATCGATGATTTTTTTCCCAAATGGTTGTGTGTCTTCAACGAAAAAAAAACTTTCAAAACTTTCAAATGAAAAGAATTGCTCGAAGAGAATTTTATTGGTGCTTTGATAAAGCTTTCAGCTTTTGTTTATTTTGATCTCAATTTTAATGATTTGTCTTTATTTTTTCTAATCATTCAAAGATCTCTTTTTATGGACTGAATAAATTTGATTGAAAAGTGAATAAAGTAAAAGGAAACAAATATAAAATACAGATTTATTAACTAATAAAACGAGTTATATGACTTCAAATTGAAAAAAAACCTTGAAAAGCGATTTCTTCGACTTAAAATCTCAAAAAAGATCTTTGAAAGAGAGCTTTTTTTTGAGAAATTCAACTTAAATCAACAAATTAGCTAAAGCATTTATTAGGTTGATGCATAAGTGTTTTCGTTTTTTTCGTACTTCTGTTAAAAAGTAACAAATTCACGAATTAATCTATAGTTTGCTCTATAAAAAAAGTGTTTTTTTGTTCAATTTGCATCTTTTTAAATGAATTTCGGCTCACTTTCAAGCAAATTCGAGAGTGAAAAACGCCTTTTTCGTAAAAATCTATAAAAAACTCTACGGAAAAATTGGCTGAATGAATTTCTCTGAAATTTTGGCGAAATATCAAACGTTTTTTTTCTCTATCTTTTATCTATTGACACGAAGATAGGTTTTCCTTAGCTAAGGTGTCTAAACCGACATCGAGTAGCCCTTTTTGACTACCCGACTTCATACTCTCAAGAAAATCCAGGCATTAAATATTTTTAAACCCGTTTTAATGTTATTTTGCAGAAAAATAATTGCTTTTTCTAATGAAATCAACCGTAGTTTAATTGGTGCATTTGTTGGCTTGAAACGGCAGACGAAAAGGAACAAAAACACTTATGCATCAACCTATTAGCTTAAAACGAGCTCAATTTTCTTGTGAAATTGAATTTTCTGACTAATTCTTCGCTATCACTTTATCACTTTTTATAATAAGTACAATCACCTTTTTACAAAAAAGAATCCCTTTTTGAATCACGATTTCCCAAGAAAATGAATCATTCTTTTGTTGAAAAACGGCAAAAAACATGATTTCTTCGGACAAAACGTCGACTAAAATCGATTTTATTAGTGCTTTTTGAGGATTTCTATGGAATAATTTCATTTTTAATATTATTTTCTGTAAATTATTGGTCATGTCAACAGCAATATTTGCGAGAAGCTCTCCTACTCAAGATTCCGATGGAGTACCGATTTTTCAATTCTTGGAAGCGGAAAGCTCAGATGCCGAGAATTTCATTCAATTTCGAGTGATGGTCGGTTTTATAAATGAATTGGTTATTGATAGGGATTTGACTGGCTTGCTGATAGCTAAACTTACAGATTTTTTTTATCTGTCTTCGCATTCAGGTGTTCCTATTTGCGCAGATCACAACCTGCTTCCACATTTCTCTATCCCTTGCTATTGTCATCCAGTGTTTCCTATCTTGATTGTTCCTGGTTCGAAGTCTTCGACTTGCTTGTGCTGGTGGTGGTTGCACTCTAGCCATCCTTTTTCTGACCGTCTCTGCCACTCTTGTGCTCCACCTCGTTGCTGGTCTTCCGATGGGCCTCTTCTGGTCTTGTGGTAGCCACTCTGTGATCCGTATCGTCCATCTGTCGTCTGTTCTTCTGGCTACGTGGCCAGCCCATCTGAGTCTTTTTCTCTCAATCACTTCCACTGGATCTCTGAGTCCGGAGAGAATTTTTGTGTAAATAAACTTAGAAATAGCAATCGTGTACTTTCTATTATCAATAAAAATATTAAAAAGGGAAGAATGGTTAGATCCCGTGACCTTTTCCGATCATTTCCGATCATTTATATAAACCATTCAACCCAGAATTTTACGCTAATTCCAATGATGTAAAAATTGCCGAATGGCCTAAAAGTATTGAGCCAATTTCTTCAACACAAACTGTTCATCAATGGCCAGGGCCATCAATCAACCCAATCACCCTTCACTTGTAAGAGATTTTCTATCCCACCATTGTTATTCTTAATGCTAACTTATTTCTCGATTATTTCTAGGTAGATTGTGTTCCTCTCAAGTAAGTAATTACTCGAGTAAAATCTGCATGAGTAATTTTTACTCGATTAATTGACGTTTTTTGTCGAGTAACTACGAGCAATCCTTTTTACACGTCGAGTAAATGGAATATCATTACATGCGAAGGGAATTTGCCACCAAATTAGTTAAACGGCTGAATATCTTTAAAAAGAGTCGTATATAAGTCGTCGCTCGTCATTTTTTGCTCCAATTTTTGAAATAATTTTCGCTAAAAGTACGGTAATTTTTCCTAAAGGTGCGTTTTAAAAAAGCGCATTACCCGCAGGAAAACACTCTAGTGTTTACGGTACTTTGTATTTCGATTTTCTAAAGCAAATTATGTGTAAATTGTCTAAATTTGATGCTACCAGAAGCCAAAGCTCGATCAATTATCGATTTTGATCTTTGAACAACCAAAAGTTAAGATCATTATCTATTTAAGGTTTATTTTTTTAAGTTCTATGTGATTAGAAGTGCAAGAAAATAGTTTCATAACTTTTTCCTTACCTCAAATGTTGAATAGCATTCAAATATTTCTTCGTCCGTCGATCGGTTTCTTCAAATGGATCAAAATCACCGTTAGCTTTCACGTATCTAAAACTTTAGAGGTTTAAAAATCATCAAATTCAGAAAACCAATTATCCGTTTCCTTTAAAAGCTCATGAGGAACACACTCTATTTCTAGGATCGAGAACCCGGTTGTTGCTTTAAAACGACAACAATTGTGCGAAATTTCTGGAATGAGACGAATCAATTGTTCACTTGCGCTTTTCTGATGGCTTTCTGGATTTGCGTGGCACTTTTGATGATGGCAATGTGAGTGATTTTCCAAAAAACTATTCAAAATTTCATAGTTTTTCATATTTTCTCAATGTTTTCAAATCTAAATCATTTCCAGCTGGCTTTTCTTTGAAAGAACAAATCAAATGGCTGATGAATAGACTGTTTTGTAGTTATCTTCTTTCAAAATTGTATATAAATTTTATTTTTCTAAAGCTCTTTTTCAGAAATAATGGTAAAAAGTTAAGAAAGCAAAAAAAAATGAAAAAACTGACAAAAACTGACAAAAACTGATCGTTTAAAGAACCCGTAAAATGAAAAACAAAAAAATGAATGCAAAATTGTAAATTTTAGTGAAAATTTGACTTTACAACACCGGAAATTGAAAATAACAAAAGAAATTATTGCATTTTACTGTAGAAATTGATCCTTGAGCTGGCAAAAAGAATGATAACACAAAAAGAATGACTAGTTTATGAGAAAATTTTTTGAAAAAATAGGGAAATGGGCAACTTGAGAGAAGTTCTTAAAAGAAAAAGACTTGCGTGAACCAAAGAGCACGCGTTTCTAGGAACATCTGGTACATGAAAACAAATTTTAGTCAGTTTTTCAAGTTATAAACATTTAATTGACAAATATCTGAATTTATACATAAAAACTCTCGGTTCGTAGGACTTTTGGAGGTAAAAGCTCTTCAAGAAAACGAAGAATCGAGGAGGGATTTGGACGGCGACTCATCGAAATGTGAAGACATTCAGAGATAAGGAATCGGAGGGGTTCGGCGAGGAGTTGATCACTGAAAAGATCTATATTTAGATTAAAAGCTAAACTAGAAAAAGACAAAGACAAAGAACTAAATAAAGATAAAGTTTAGGGGATTTTTTTCTAAGCCACATCTTGACTTGCATTTTGACCATGTTCGGTTTAGTTTACAGCTATTCGGTACCTAAGAAATGCGGATTTCATTTCATAAATTTCCAACGATAGAAACCTGATATCGATGAATGTTATAAACTATTTGAAAGTTGTAAATCACCTCTACAAAATAGGCTAAAAGGTGTTTCAATTGATCGAACGATTGAAGAAATTTCGAGGGCGAAATGCGAGTGACCAAAAAAGGGCACTTTTTGAAAACCCCACTTTCACAAGAGTTCGGTTTTGACTATATAGAAATTTAGATAAAGCGTATGTTCAAAACCCTCAAAATTGTCGAAAAACCGGCTTTTTCACAAAAAAAGAAAAATTATTGTAAAAACAAAGTTTTCCCACGAAATGAACCCAAATCTTAATTATTTTGAATGATATTTTATGGCGCTCATTTTCCACTACATATAGTCTTTCCACTACATACTGTATATAGTCAAAACCGAACTCTTATGAAAGTGGGGTTTTCAAAAAGTGCCCTTTTTTGGTCACTCGCATTTCGTCCTCGAAATTTCTTCAATCGTTCGATCAATTGAAACACGTTTTAGCCTATTTTATAGAAGAGATTTACAACTTTCAAATAGTTTATAAAATTCATCGATACTAGTTTATAACATCAGCTTTCTAGCGTTGGAAATTTATGAAAATGTTGAAATCCGCATTTCTTATGCATTTACCTAATAGATTGGATACTTATATCTAATCGAATCCTGGCTTTTATCAATTCAAAGAAATCCTTCCGGTTTCCCAATTCTTTTTGCTGAAACTTACACTTCTTGTACACCGAAAGCCATCCTTTTGACCTCTCGCTGTATCCTCAGATCTCTGTCCGATTTCTCTCGAATCTCGAAAAGAGGATTCCTGCCGAGTGTGCAAATCTCATACAAGAAAAGACCAAATTCCCATCTAAAAATCAAATGTTCTTTAAAAAAAAACAAAAATGAATTCTTCACTTACATATCCCCTTCTTTTGTGTAAATTCCCTCATCATGAGTTTCTGGTGGAAGTCGACTCAAGTCCAATCCCTCTCCATCATCATCGATTGTGCCCAATCTTACTGGTTCACAAAGGCCTAGATTTGAAATGAAAACTCACTTTTCTTTATGATTTCAAAAGATTCACATGCAAAAACCAAATTCTCAGCAGGTAAATTGGAAAACTGTGACTCACAAAGTCGGCCAAGATCGGCTTAGTTTTCAAGTTTCGCTATTTTAAATGAAATTAAACACAATCTCACTTGTAGATTCACTAAAATGAGTGGCTCTAATCAATTTTTACTCAAATTTTGCTTTATTTTAACCATCAATTGCACAAATCAAGACAATTTGGTTTCAGTGAGATTCGGGGCTCTTCTTTAATCTTATTAATCGCTTTAAAATGTCATTTATAAGTGTTTGTGCTTTATTTCATTTCCCTACTCACCAAAATCAACAATCTTTGCTCTTTGCCCAGGTGGTTGAACGAAAGCATCTTGCCAGGGAAGCATTAAATGAACACAATGAACCCCAATGTCACGATGAAGAAAACCACACTCGGAGATGTATTTCTAAAGAGTTTTTCTAAAGAGTTCTAAAATTTCTAAAGAGTTACTTGAAATCTCTACCATTTCTTTTTTAATGCTAAAACTAACCACAGCATTTCCCACATCTTGACAACATTGAATCAAGAATAAAGCAATATTCTTTTGCTCAATGCAATAAACATCCTCATAGATATTGCCGGAATTGAGTGAAGTGGCTTGGAGTGAAGTTGAGATGAGATGGAGCAATGAGAGGAGATCTCCACCCTGACAATGCTCAAAGAGTAAGCCGGAGACTCGTTCCTGGAAAGTCAAAATTTCCATGAGAATTTCCAACTGAACTTTAGGACTTTAAGACTTCTTTTCTTTAGTTTTATCATAATAAATTGATTTTCCTATTACCGTATCCTCAACCAAATCCGTGACCACTCCCAAGAATCGCAATATTGATGGAACTGTGTGCGATGAAGTTGCACACATTGCTTGCACAGCTCGCAGCTCTCTCCGAATGGCCAACTCGGATTTTTGGCCATCAGCTAAATAGATAGTTTTTGATAAGTGGCAAAATCAATTTGCTATCACTGACCGATTGCTTGTTTTTCGAGAGCTCTCACATAGTCTCGATTTTGTCTCACCGCGACTAGTGTCTGCATTGTGAAACGGCCACACTCCAAGTATTCCACCAAATCGACTTGATGAACGGGAATTCTGAATTTCGAGTGTAATAGTATCTAGAACTGCTTTGCTTGTTTCTAGTTTAAAAGATTTTTTTCCTATTTTATTTGAGCTTTCGTTAAAAAAGCAAAATTTCTAACTGAAGGCGGATCCGAACCCTTGACCTCTGGCACCGGGTGTTAGCATGCTAACCAGTCCCCCACTAGAACACGAAAGACAGAGTGAAACTTTGAATATAGGTTAGATTTACATTGATTTTACCTGGGGGTAGCTGGCAGCACAGCATCCATTATGGCAAGGCTTGGTCCACGTTTCTCTGGGGTCAACTTCTAGAATTGCAAAATATTTTGTCATTGACATTATTCACCTGATTGACAAATCTTGTGTATCCATCTTTGTCAGCTAAACGCGTGACATCACTAGCGTAAATCGGTTGTTGCGAGATATTCGATTGAACGGGTCGCCTCAACGAGTGAACTCCGCGAAAAGAGCTCATATAGTGGATTTGGGGTGGATCCTAGGAAAGTTTCTTTTGATGCTAAACGCCTCAATTACCATATTTGGTGGTCTTGGGAGTGTGGCACTGTAGTTTCTTCTCGCGTTTCCATCACTTCTTTCCCCACTACTCCCACTGCCTCGATGACTTTCCTCATCCGAGTCAAGATATCCCGATCTCAAGCCAACGATTTGTTTCCCCGATCCAACTTGACACCATTGTTCACTGCCAGAGTCTAAAAAGAAAAGAAAATTCTTTAAAATCTTTCTAAATCAATTACTCATAGCTTGACTATCATAAAATAAAAAAGCTAAAAAATGAAAGAAAGTTCTAATGGGTTGGTGAATTGAAAACTGCCGGCTATTGTCATATGTCCCAGTTTGAGCACTTTCTTCAAAAGAAACCCATTTTGGTGTCAATGGAAAAGTTGTAGAGAATCAAAAATAAAGCTTATATCCAAATTTTCAGAACGATTCAAAAACTGGTTTTTCAAGAAATGCCAAATTTACGAATTTTCACAAAACTTGCATTTTAAGCGAAACTACTAAGTGTATTTTTTTGGAAATTTGGATATAAGCCTCATTTTTGATTCTCTACAACTTTTCTATTGACACCAAAATGGGTTTCTTTTGAAGAAATTGCTCAAACTGGGACATCTCCAGTCCTCGATTTTTGAGTCTCACACTTGTCTCACACACAAACCAAAATCCTACTACAAAAGAGGAATCCGCAAATTGTCTGTAAAATGGGCAGAAGTCGTCAATGATACTATAATATTTGGAATGAATTGATGGTTTTATGTTGAATAAATTTTAGTTCAAAGTCCAGCAGTTTTCAATTCACCAACCCAATAGTGTCAACAAGTCCTAGTTTTACCATTAGTGCAAATAGTTCCAGTGACAACACTTTGCCTCAACGCTTTTCCCAAATCTTTTTGCATCATTGTCAACCTTCTCGATCGAATGCATACAGTAACCGCGGCAATAACAGAAATCAAGACTACTGTGAACATCACAAACAACATTCCAGCCTGAAGGATTGTTTAGGAATTGAAGATTATGATCAAAAATCATTGCTTACTTGTGCCCAATCTCTTGCCGCAGCTCCAATAATCAAACTGCTTGCTTTCTCGTAACGAATAATTTGTGTTTTCGTTGGTGGTGAGCGACGATTTCGCGAATCAACAACAACGATCTCGATCTCGTAATTACAACCAGTTTCACTTGGATACAATTGGACGGATCGATGAGTCTAAAATCATCATTGATAATATAAATCAGTTTTATTGTTTTAAGTACAATTTAACCTGGTCTTAGGCAAATACTCAAGGCTAATAAATAATATTTTCTCACCCCAGTGATGCTTCTCTTTTGCTCTGGTACATCAGCACATTGTGGACCAGACGATGAAAGAGTTCTCATCGAAATCGAGAAATGAACGGCACGATATGGAGTCGCCAATTGATTCTGAATTTTTTTGAATTTGAATAAATTGATAAAGCTTTACTGTTAGTTGGGTAGATTTTTAAAAACTTTAGTTTATTTTGGTTCTCTTCACTCTAGCTTACCCCTTGATTGTCAAAGAAAAACTCATCGTAATAGAAAACCTTGAAATAGTTTTGGTTTTTCTTTTAGGTTTTGTTTAAAGAATCGAATTCTAAACTTTCTCACCTCTCCATCTCCAGGATATGACCAATTGAGTTGAATCGCGTCTTGCCCTGCCCAACTCCATTGAATATTTTCAACAGATGAAGGCGCTAAATGGTACTGTAAGTCTAAGAATTAGGCTCAAGTGATTAAAGGAAGTCAAGTAAGTCTAAGAACTTTCTCAAAATTTAACTAGACTTTCCAAAACCCACCACACATTCCCGAGTCTTTTGCCAATTTTCGACACGGTGCTGTCTTTACTAAACTCTCTTCTCCAGCGAATTCTTGTCCTTGTTGTGTCTTTATCGTTGCTCCAATCCGGACTCGATAATCATGCTCAAAAAGAAGACCATCAACAAGATATCCCAAGGAACGATCCTGAAAATATATTACGGATTTGAATGAAGGCTTTTTCTTAATTCTAGAACCTATTGCATAAATAAGCCTTGGTTTAGTTACCCAACTCTTGTCAAGAAGGATATTAAATAATGGTTTAGTTTATATGTGATAGCCGTTTACGAAATTCAGCCGTTAACGAATCATTCCTTAACGGTTAGCCATTTACGAATCATTCGTAATCAGCTAGCCGCTAACGAATGATTCGTAATCAGCTAGCCGATAACGAATCATTCGTTAACGGCTAGCCATTTACGAATCATTCGTAATCAGCTGGCCGTTAACGAATCATTCGTTAACGGTTAGCCGATAACGAATGAAATTTTTTCGCTAGCCGTGTACAATTTGTACACTGTAATCGGCTTCTGCGAACATGGCTCGATTCAAATAAGTTTTTGATTTCAAACTATTTATGCAAGACGCAAATCAGCTTATCTAGCTTAGCTCAAATCGCAAATCGTTAACGGCTAGCCGTTAACGAATGATTCATTAGCGACTGAATTTCGTAAACGGCTACGACATATAGATAATAATACGATAAGTCTGTGTAATATAATATAAAATAATAAAAGTTACCATTTGAAATGGTATCTGCAGATCATCAACCGATGCATCGTATGAGAGAGTGAGTGAACAAGCGGGAATCTGACCGGCTGGAGCGGAAAAGTGAAGCTCGACAGCTGCTTGCTCTTCTTTCCACAGCTAAAATAAGCGTTGAAGTGAACTTGTTAAATCTTTCACCTGATTCTTGACACTTGTTGATAATTTTGTGATCGCTGATTGTTCAATGGTTGTTCGAGAGAGCCATGAGCTTTTCACCATTTCCCCAAACACTGCACGAAGACCAAAAGTTGTGACACGAAAATGGAGTTGAGAGAGATCAACGGGAAGGGATAGAGTCACATCGATTGATGGTGAATACGCCTAGAAAGAAGATTGATTTGAATTCAATTCTTTATTCAAAAAAAAGTTCCTCCTTATCACTGCTTAGTTCGCTTAGTTCATTGTAAATTTGAATTTACAACAAACTTCTTTAGATGTAAAGAGTTTAAGAGGTATTTATCGACTTTATTCTGAAAACCTTTTTGTGCTTATTTTCTTATTTATTTACTAGTCTTTTAAGCGATTCATTTCCAAAAAAAGTACTTACAAAAGTGCTCCAAAACATCGTTTCCCCTTTTGTCATTTCATTTGATCGATATATGGCCTCAATAAAAAAGACAAAGAAATCATTGAGAGTGTTGTTGAATGAAAGGAATATTTGGCCGTTAATTGAATGATTTGTCGGTAAATAATCGACACAAAGAAGCGAGATCCGATTGATGACAGTTTGAGGTAAAGTTTCTGAAAACAAAAGATTAATTATGATGAGTTAAAAGGGTTTACATTTAGGTGCACAAGAATACTGGCTATATAAATACCGTAAATACTGTAATAGTACCCCACCCCCATAATGACGGTGCGGAGCGTTGCGTAGTCTAGCTTTGGACGCGTTTTTCTCGACACTGGTTTATGCTACAATGCGCGTTTAGGTATCAAAAAATAGCTCTGAATTTCAGCTTTCATTTAATACTTAGACAAACACTGTAGCATAAACGGGTTACGAGAAAAATGCATTTAAAGTTAGACTACGCGATGCTCCGACCGTCATTATCGGGCGGAGGGGCTACTATTAAAGGTATTACGATATGCTTTTCTTAGTTTAGCTTAACCCTTATCTACTATAATTCGATTTAGAACTATAATTTAAACATACCGTAAATACTGTAATAGTGTCCCACCAGCATAATGACGGTGCGGATTGTTGCGTAGTCTAGCTTTGAAAGAGTTTTTCTCGACACTGGTTTATGCTACAATGCGCGCTTAGATATCAAAAAATAGCTGAAATTAAGGGCTATTTTTTGATACCAAAGACGTATTTTTTGAAAGTACGGGTGCTTTGAAAAAAATGAAATACTAAAAAACTTTTGCGACTACGTGACTCTACGAGGGGGTGGGGTCCAATTACAGTATTTACGGTATAGATAGCTACTTGATTCATGAGCTGAGATAAAGTGCGCTAGATTTAAGATTAATACACATGAATTCATACACATAACACGAAAAGGGCCGATAAAAAGCAACACGATCTAGTATAGGTTCAAATTTAAAGTTATCTATTTGGTGAAGAGTTCATAGCTGCCTTTTTTTTTACCTTCACTCTTCAATGCCAACTCTTTTGCCGTGCTTTGACCGACCAAAAACGCTGGTAAATCCAACTCGGAGAATCCAGAAACCGAGCATCCAAGTTTGCACTGAAAAGTTTGATTTCATTTACAAAACAACTAACGGAAGATTTTGATCTAACAATTTTAAGTCAAAATTTTCACTCACCAAGCTAAACTGCGTGTTGTTGCCGATCTCGATCTCGTTTAAAACGATCTCCCCACTGTGTAACGTTCGATCTTTTCGATTTGCGTACTAAAATTTGATGGTGAGATATTTTAAAGGAAATAGGAAGTGAAATAATCAATTAGTTATCAGTTTTGACATCTCAAAGTCCTTAGAAATTACCTCTTGTAAACATTTTGCTTGACACATCGCGAATTGGGCGACTGGTTGAGTCGAAGCCGCATAAGATATTGTGTGAAAAAATAACCAAAGAATTGGTGGACCCCACCAATCGAGCCACATGATCTAAATGATAAGATAGAAAAAAGCTAACAACATCTTAAACCAATGATAACAAATAAAGATTTGAAGTAAGTACAGAATATTATTTCTTTATATTCATCATATAATACAAAAAGGTATCAGCACTCAAAAAAAGACATCAAACAAGGCAACTTTATCTAATTGAGAATCTGAAAAGCATTGATTTTCAGATACAAATTAGATAATCCCAAAGGAAAATATAAAGCTAAGATGAAAATTGAGAATTTTCAATGTCAAAATTTACGATTAGAACAGAAGATAAACAAATCGGAATCTTTTGTGAAGTTTGAGATGGGAAAAGGAAGAAAACAGGGACAATTGTTGAATGTTTCTCTTGTTGAAGAAAAGAAATCAAAGAAAAGGGTACAAGGATGAGAAAAAGAAAGAAACCAAGAAATCTTCGTCTTTTCCCACGTGTATCAGTCGGCTGAGAATGCTTATGTACACTAGAAAAGTGAAGAAAATGAATGAAAATGAATTTTTCAAGAAAACTTACTAAAGTTTTGTCGATTTTTAAGCATGAGAATGGGAATTTTCGAGGAGAATTTGATGAAACTTTTGTATAAAAGCAGACTTGATTAATGTTGTTTTATGTTGTTGCCTTATTTTTCTTAAAAAAAAACTCTCAAAACTCTCAAAATTCTCTTCATTTGCAGGTAAACAAATATGGTCCGTTTTTGTCATGAAAACGGATCTTTTTGTATTTCGGTTGAGGAAAAGAAGAAAGCGAGAAATTATCTAGCCAAAAAATCAGTCGAAAAAAAATGGAAAACCTCTAAAAAAGTTTGAAGGAAAAGGGGTACAAAGGATTGGAGAAAAGGAGGGAAAAAGACGGGGAATCGGGGGAGTCATTAGTCTCATGAGGAGTATTCCCATAGATGGAAATGGAAAGATTTCGAGCTGATTTCAAACAAATCCAGCATAAAAATCTCTTTAATTCTAACTCAACACATTTCCCTGTCCATGTCTGATGCACTACAGTCATCAGACAGTTTTAAACCGACAACCCTGGTAGATACATCAAAGATATGGTACTCTAAAATAAGTCAAATCAATAGAAAAGCTTAGATTAGCTAAAGCTAGAGTCAAAGTCAAAGAGATGGGCTATTTAGGTTTGCCTATGTTTTTGTTGATTCCAAATTTTGGATCATTTCATTAGCCTAATTATTCAGTGCTTAATGGGTGCCAATAAGCGGATTGTCGACTTCAAAAAGAGCCGCTTAGATTTTGACCTTTCAGATTAGAATTGTTGGGAAACGGTAGGGAAAACAGGCTAAAAATTGAAGGCTATTTCTAAACAAAGTAGGAAAAAAGGGTACTTGTCGGTTATACATCGACAGAGACTCAACTCGGTTAAGCAAGAAGCTGACGAGTGGTGACTATGTTTAGTGAAGTAGGAGTGCTCGTCTGAAGTGTTCAGTGGATCAATGGAACGAAGATCGATAACCGAGAAGTCTCGGATCGGGATGCTTCACCGAGATGAGTCTTTGTGAATGCTAAAACCGACAAGTACCAAAAAAAGTAGACAATTAACTTTGGAAGTAATGATAAGAGTCAGATAAGAGTCAGTTTTTCACCTACTTTATTTGAAAAAACTTTAGAAATAAAATTCGTTCAGTTAGCATAAAACTGAAAAAACTTTTCAAGCTTTAAAGCTAGAGAAAAAGAAATTTCAATTGAGAATGGAAAAGAAAAAAAATAAGAGCAATTTGGCACGAAGAAGACAAAAGGAACGGAAGTGGAGAAAGAAAGAAAAATACAAAATTATAGAAATGAAAAGCTATTCAGTTGAAATACGGTAATAGATTTGAAAATATGAGTCAAGAATTCTTTTCAGAAATGTAGAATGTTTAAAAAAACAAAAACAATACGTCTTTGGTAAACATTGGTGAAGTTTGTGAAGAAAAATTTCGATCAATTATTCATCTACGATCAATTGAAGACAAGTGAGTAAAAGAAGCTGACGACTTTTGAGTGGTGACTATGTTTAGTGAAGTAGGAGTGCTCGTCTGAAGTGTACAGTCGATCAGTCGAACAAAACTCGATAACCGAGAAGACTCGGATGAGGATGCTTCACAGAGATGAGTTTTTGTGAATGCTAAAACCGACAAGTACCAAAAAAAAGTAGACAATAAACTTTGGAAGTAAGGATAAGAATCAGTTTTTCATCTATTTTATTTGCAAAAACCTCGGAAGTCTCGAAAGAATTCTTTTCAGAAATGTAGAATGTTTAAAAAACAAAAACAATACGTCTTTAGTAAACATTGGTGAAGTTTGTGAAGAAAAATTCGATCAATTATTCATCTACGATCAATTGAAGACAAGTGAGTAAACAAAAAGTTGCAAAAAAGATTAGAATTTGAAAAAAAAAACTAGGAAAATGTACAACAAATAGAATGCTAGCTTGAGAAAATCTAGCAATAAATTCAGTTTGTTCTCTTTATATTCAATTTTGTAAACGCACCCTTCTAGCGCATCTAAATTCAGGTTTCTCAACGAAAAATTGAGTGTTTCCAAAGTTAAAGAAACAATAGTTCTTTGATAAAAACAAATTTCAATAAAAACATATTGATAAAAGAGAAAAAAAAGGGCTAAATTACTCAAAGGGTGTCACAAAACACTCAAAAAGACAGAAGAAAAGAAATGGGGTGTCGATTTGACGAGAATGAGACAAGAATGATTGAAGAAGAAAAAGAAAGACATGAAGAAGACAAGGAAGACAAGGAGGCAGATGGCATGAGAACACAATTAAAAATTGGGAGTCGATGAGAGAGTGGAAGAAGTGGACGGGAGATCTGAGAGGATTGAGAGTCGGATCTATCAAGGCGTGGCTTGTAATTGCCTTATGGTGGCACGAGCTTAGTTTTTCGGTGAGTGTGATTTTGTTCAAATTCAAAACAGACTTTTTAGAGTCTGGATTACTTTGACAGCTTTTTGAGCAGAGATTTTGAATTGGTGTTTGAAGTAGCTCTTGGTAAGTAGTTGGTTTAATGAGATGTGTAAATCAGCCGGCACTTACAGTGCAATTGCGCTTTGTGCAATTTGATGAAAGCAATTGAAGGAATTGAGAAAGGAACTGTTTTCAAGTGCTCGTGTTTATCTCAAGGAATTAAAAACAAAAAAAAAGATGTCCTGAAAAGGGATTGAACCAGCGACTAGTCGAGGTCAATGTTGCTTATCGGAATAGATCGATTTGCAGATGGGAATAGATCGACTTCTACACTTATTGCTTGAACCACCGCGAAATAGAGTCTGTTCCTTTTGAGTAATGCGTTTTTTAGAATGCATTTATTTGAGAAAAGTACTGTAATCAAACCGTTAGTTCACATTTAATTCGTTCGATTTTGGTATCATTCAATGAGGAATAACAATGCTCAGTTAATGATACGAAAATCGGGCTGATCGAATGTAAACTAACGGTTTGGCTACGGTACTTTTTAGAAAACTCGAGAGGAACAAACTCTACCGCAAACGGGGGAAGGTAAAAACGCGGTATTTAAAGTTGATCGGAGATTCAGCAAACGAACTATTCAATGGGGAAATGTGAAAGACTTAAGATTCTTTTATTGTGGCAAGAAAACCAAGATTTAAACCAAGAATCAAATCAATCTTTACCAAATATCCTTTCTTTACAAGTGTATCGCTTACAAATGAGCTCTAGAAACCATCTTATTGTCTAGAATCAGTCCAGTCAAAAGATTCTCTTTAACTGACCAACTAAAAAGCTGATTTGAATTCAGAATAGAGGAAAGGGTAGGCAAATTGAGTCCGAAAGATGGCCCCACCAATCAGTGAACTTGCGGGAAAGAGGAAAGGAGCAAAAACAAGCAATCTGATGCCTTTTCTTGCCCTTTTTTTTGTCTTCTTTCATTCAAATCGACAACAATAGGGATTTACACAAATCATTTTCTTTTTTTTCACTTTCTCTAGTAGTTCAATTATACTCAATTTCTATAAAAAGATCTTTATTTAGCATTTGTTAGTTCTATTATTGAATCTGAGAAGATTTAGTGCAATTGGTGAATGAAAATTGAAGGAATTGGGCAAAAAGTCACTGTTTTTAAAGTGAGAATTTTCGATTTCAGAACAAATCCGGTTTCTTAGGTTAGCTTTACTAGATATTTTACACTCAAAACCTCCTACAATATAGCAAATACCAAATCTCAAACAATCCATACAATTCAAAGGATCAATACAATAGAAAAGAGAGTTTTACATAGCTGTTTTACATAGATAAAGATCTTTTACATTAGCAAAGAGATAGTTTTACAAATGTTTCACCACCAATCCCCCTTTTTTTTTTTGTTTTTGAGGGGGGGGGATTAGGATTAAGTTTTATTTCGGTTTTTTTTTTTTTTTTTTTTTTTTTTTTTTTTGTTTTTTTTTTTTTTTTTTTTTTTTTTTTTTTTGGTGTTTTTTTTTTTTTTTTTATAATTCCCTTTCAAATTTTTTTTTTTTTTTTTTTTTTTTTGGGGGGGGGGGGGGGGTGGGGTGTTTTTTTTTTTTTTTTTTTTTTTTTTTTTTTTTTTTTTTTTTTTTTTTTTTTGGTTTTTTTTTTTTTTTTTGTGTTTGAGGGATATATTTTATATAGAAGGGGGGGGGGGGAGGGGGGGGGGGGGGGAGGGGTTTTTTTTGTGTATTTTTTTTTTTTGTTGTAGGGGGGGGTTGGTTTTTTTTTTGGGGGGGGTGGGTGGGTGGTGTGGGTTGTTTTTTATTATGGGGATAAAAAAAGAGGTTATTTTTTTTTTTTTTTTTTTTTTTAAAAAAGAGAAAAGGGGAGGGGGGGGGGGGGTTTTGGGGATGGGTTAGATGGTTTTTTTTTTTTTTTTTTTTTTTTTTTTTTTTTTTTTTTTTTTTTTTTTTATAAAAGATGTTAATATAAATTATTTTATATATTTTTTATATAAAAAAAAAATATAATAAAATTTTTTTTTTTATGGAATTTTTATATATGGGTTGGGGGGGGTTTTTTTTTTTTT